CCGAAAGATTAGAACACGCTTCCATACGTTTCATGAGATTAATACGGATAATATTATATAAATATACATATATGGTTTTCGTAAATGCTATTGTTGGTATTATTTAATATTTAATTGTATAGATAACAGAGATATATATTTTGAAACTGAAAAGACATAAATATATATGAAGGTACTTATACAAATAAAAATACCCTCAATGAAATATACATAAATATAGAGTCTATATATTTTACTTTCACTTCGCTTTGTTTGAAAATACTTATTTCTGCTAAGAAGAGGGTGGTAAGTGAAAGTTGTGTGATGCGCGCACCGCACCAGATTTTTTATCTTTATTATGTATCTATGATGCTCAATCAATATTTCTATACCACAGTAATATGATATCCAAACGGTTCTCTATGTTTCTCTTCTTTGAGATAGTTCTAAAATTACTTCCAATATGGGAAAGAGATTTTAATATTTGACAATTTAAAAAAATTTATAGAAATTTAAATAATTTTATTTATTATTTTAATATTCTGCATTTTTAAAATCCTGTTGGATAAAATGAAACTCTAATATAGATAAAACTTCGGTGTTACAAAATATCCTGTGCGGAAAAATTACTGCACACTGGAATGCGTTTCGCCACTAATGAGAACAATCTTGAGGAAATGAAGTAGCTGTTAGCTCGTGACTAAAAGAGGGAGCTAATGTTCCTTGATGGATACACCACCGAGAAAGATAAGTCCTTGGCAAGAAATTGGCAATCTTCACGCACCGGTTCTTAGCGATCCTGCAAGGACATCTTTCCCATCGCGAGTCCTGCCCCAGCGGCGGTCCCTCCTGCAGACTCTCAAAACCAAGAGATAACCCTTGACCGATTAATTTCGAAACTATTGGCGGTCTAGGACGCCCGATTACAGGCGTCTTGTATTTCGTGTTTTCCAGATTACCATTGGTGGAAGCGGTTTCTCAACGGTAATGTCGGTTTTGCGGTGAGTCAACTGTGTTAAGGTTCTCCAATATGATCGCATCGGGTGAAATATTATGACAGCTTGTTATAGAGCTGAAGATGTCTTCTCCTCTTATAAGGAAAAAGCGAGGCCTTGCCTTAACAGCATTGTAACGATATCTTGTCATCACTGTTACATTCTTTGAAATACTACATCATTTTTTAATTAGCAGTTTTGCTATATTTTTCTTCTTTTTTTTTTAGTTTTAACTGTCATGTGTTAACGTGCATATGAAAAACTACAACCGAACCTAATTTAAGATGGTTTTCATTAGTGTCCCTCACGTGGCGAAGCACACGCGCTTTATTGTTTAAGCTTAGTTGTCATTAATTTATGGGGAAAATAACTGCTCTTTTTAACTTCCCTACTAAATAACTATTTAATAAAAAACCGATTACCGATTGGGTTGTTTATTATGTAAGTTCTGGCTGTTTAGATGCTAAAAAAAAAAAAAAATCTGGTGGGCGCGACACACAACTTTCACTTACCGCTCTAATTTGAATAGAAATTATTTTCTGGCAATGTCGGACTATTATAAAATTTTTGTAGTGCATTTTTAACGGAGCTACACATAAGAAATCATTAACAACGTTAAAATTTCAAAAACCCTATTAAGTAAAATAACAGTAGCCACCAACAGTACACCACACAACTCCAGCCTCTAAGCTATATATATATATATATATATATATATATATAGCTTAGAGGCTGGAGTTGTGTGGTGTACTGTTGGTGGCTACTGTATATATATATATATATATATATATATATATATATATATATATATTTACAACTTTTCCTTAATCGACCTTTGAGTATTAAATTTCTTTATAAGAGGAGCGTATGACTGTTTGTCGCGCCGTGTATTTATATATGGGTGTTTTATGTGTGGGTATTAGTATATATAGTAAGTATAAGTATATATTTAATGTTAATTAATTTGCATAGGTTAAATTGTTGTACGACTAGGAAATGTTATACAAGCTGTTTTTATTATTCATAGATATGTTTTATTGATGCTTTGATGCTGGTATATTGATCACAGAAGCATCTTTCAATTGTTTTATATAAAATTGATGCAATTTTTCAATGTTTATTGTGTAATAATTTGTCTCCGGGCTCAGGACCGAAGAGGGCAGACGCTTAGCGATCCAGTAGCTTAATATATGTGCTAGTGGACGGTGCTGAGACTGTCGGTGAGTCCTTGGCCTGATCGAAGCTCTATTTTTTTAAATTCTAGCTTTGAAGAGGATCCCATCGTTGACTAATAAAAAGAAAATACAGGGATCGAAACGTCAATAAACAGAAAAAATGAACATTCAATAGTTTATATATAAGTGACCTTATTCCCAATTAAATAGTTAACTTTAAATATATATATATATATATATGCCTAGAGGGATTTGAAAGTATATCTGTATATTCAACCTATAAATGATTATGGACTGTACTACTGTTGGTCATTAAAATGCTATTTCATAGTAAAGTTTACTAAAATGAAATTACGAGGTATTCATTGCCTGCCATATAAAGATCAAAAATTGTTACACTAATTTCAAGTGAATAATTTTGGGATACCACAAAGGGAAAACTCAACAAATTATTCACCAATTTAATATTCTGAAAGATTATATGACGATTTTCGGAATAAACTGACATTGATACATAATTTTTTTAATATAATATCAGTTAATAATATCATAAAAATAATATCAGATATAGAATTACTAAACTACAGTAAATGTATTTAAGTTTATGTACATATGCTTTACACATCCATGATCTATTTTTATGTTTCACTTCTTCTTTCACTCAAGTACAGTGAAATAGTATTTTAAACAATGGCATTGCCTTGATTTGGTATTTTTTAAATACTTTTTAACATTTGATACAATATTAATAATATCATGTTTCACTAATTATTATTAATAATTTTTCTTCATTCTCCATTACCTTCTACGAATTTCTATATTAGATATTGTTTTTTCTAAAATATTCCGCCTTCCAACAATATATTATACGTATACCTTCTGACTAATATTTCCGGAGATTTATTTTCGACCTAAATGAACATTTTCTTTTTTTTATCTAGTTTCCAATTATCAAATGTTTTTATATTTAGCCATTTTTTATAGTTAGTGTCAATAAGAGAGAGTTATTGTTTTTAAAAAAAACAAATTAATGGTACTTTATAGGAAGAGGTATATGAAAATTGGGTATTTAAGCCCTATAAAGTGGCATTAACCTAGCTGATATTAAAAACAACTTAATAATACTCTGATATACTGAATTTAATTGAAATCGTTAGAATCGTTTTTGAGAAACTCGTAGAAATGTGTTAAATCGGTTATATAACGTGCCACTTTCGGTTAGCCGATTTTGACGAAAAAAGTTGGTGTAACATCTCAGGCATATACAAACCTTAAATACGTAACATCAGTTTCGTTCGACTTTTTGTTTTTGAGCTAGACTGTTCACATACATACACAGACAGACCATTATGTGAGACTTGGTTATTTGGACTCAGGTGGCCTCAAAACATTTATTTCTGTGAAAAACTTAGATTCGATAATATTCACGACCGCAATACTTTCCCATACTATATATTTCATATATAGTTAAGTGAAAATAAAAAAATCTGCTTTACGATGTGGCAGTTAGAATTCAATTATCTTGAACAGTTTTTGAACAATTCCTTCTTATTCAATAAAAACTGTAATAAGAAAAACACAAAATTGGTCTTAACTCCTTTTCCGTCGTAAACCTATGGTTTCCTACAGTATCCTTTAATAATACTCCACTTATCCCTGTTGAGCAAATCCAATTCTTAGGACTCCACCTGGATAAACGTCTAACTTGGAATCCTCATACCAGACTGAAACGACAAGAAACCGCTCGACGTCTCCGACTACTTCAGCACTTACTTGACAAACGCTCTAACCTTTCAATTAATTACAAAAGACTCATATACATGACCATTATAAGACCTATTTAGACTTACGCAGTTGAGCTTTGGGGCTCCACTAAACCATCGAATTCCTCTCGTATCCAATCTTCAAAATTCTTAATGCTCCTTGCTTTTTAACAAATAAAATAATCCATAATGACCTGAATGTTCCATATGTTTCCGATTTGGCCCAATCCAGATACATATCCTTCCATAATAAACTTCATAACCATCCTAATCCTCTCGTTTCTACCCATGCTTCCTCCTCGATCCCTGGTAACCCTCCTAGCCGTCTGGTAAGAAGATGGCCTAGTGATCTCCTAACTTAGATACTTTATTAGAGTGCTACCATTGAGTAGATTCTCTACAAGCCTTGTCATTTTTCTTTGTATCACATTTTCTGAATGTATATTAATTTGTAATTACAATTAATCCATTATTATCCATTATGTATATTAATTTGAAATTTACAACTGTATATTAATTTGTAATTAATATACAGTTGTAAATTTCATAAATAACAATAAATAAAAAAACTCCCTTTCCTTTCGGAATCAGGCCATGCACTGAATGGACTTTTTTGTTTGAAATTTTGTCGAGAATCATCCTTCGAAATTTGGCCATTAAAAATTGAGACACCCCGTATATTAGCTGAAGTGTATAAGAGATTATAGAGCTATTCTCCTACATTTACATTTTTAATACATTTTTTGTTTATCGAAGATTATCAAAAATATTCTATTTATTTATTTTTTTATGTTTTAGTACGAAAAATAAATTATTATAGACCAGAATAAAATAAATTATTTTTATTTCATTTTAAAATCCATTATACATTTCTTATTTCTTTTTTTCATGTTATATCAGTTAAAACGTTCGCTGCTGAGCGACAATTTCAAAAACCGCTTAACAACTAGTTCCAATTCATAAGTAATCCTTGCCGTATTAATTGAAATCGCTATGGCAACTTACCTAGATTTTTTTTTTCAAGATACTTTTTCTGATGACATTTCAATTTGCAAGGAGTGACAAATGAGACGCGCTCAAAGTGGTCGATGACTGGTGGCGCACTCCCCTGGCATTACCAGCAGATCTTGATCCTTGGGAGAAGAACCCAGTCATCGTGTGTGCTGGATCGGTCCAACTAGCGTCATCATCATTATCCTTACCTAATTCACGTTTAGGTTAAACCCCGTCCTCTATCCTAGCCCGTGCACTACTTTCTAACAATGACAAACAAGACGGTGATAAACGATGAGCAGGCGGATATGAAGTACAAAAAACACGCTCGATATATTTTTTTTTTTCACGAACAGGCCTCAAAGACCACGCGAATATCACGAATTTAATGCTTCCTCTTCATCTGTCTCCTCTTCTCCCATATGCTCCTCATGAGCTTCGCGTGCTTACGTTTTCTCTCCTCAGACCACGCAACATCCTTTTTGGAGAACTTCTTTCCCGCAAGAACCGTTATTCCCTTGAGCGCCTTCCTGTACTCATCTGTCTCTTAGCCCCAGTTGGTCCATTTCATCCTTAACCTGTTTGAAATACCAACTTAAATTCTTATGACTGTGGATGCGCTGAAAGATTTTATGGTTAAGACTTTCAGGATTCATGGCCATAGAACCTCAGCCTTCCCACCCTAGCGTCAGTTTCCAGGGTGGGAAGGCTGATAATATTTTATATAAATATAAATAACTAGATAAGGCTGATAATATATTTCGATAATATTTTAATATATTATTACGTAGTTATTTACCGAGTAAATCACAAAGATGAAAAATTAGATATTGCTATGAATTACTTTTTTTTTTTTTTTTTAAACAACTCCTTTTTCTTAATGCTGAAGGCAGAAGCGTCACTTTAATGCCGAACCTTTATTGAAGGCCTTGGAAGTTTGTAAATGAAATCAATTGCAACTTAGAGAGACTAATAGTATAATTCATTATACGAAGCGTATCGCAACTGTTTTAGGGCAAAAGATCTTTTGTAAAAATTGAGCTTTTTTTTTTACAGAAGAGCATAAAACAGATTATTTATTTATGATTTATTAGTACAATTTCGTATTTTATTTCCCTCTGCTATTTTCTATACAGATTACTTATCGCAGTTGCAGACTACAATATGGCATCTTTATCACAAATATAATGAACATGGAAAATTGTTACATACGACCTTTTGCACTAACAGTAACGATACATATCATCCAAGTGCACTAGCTTGAATTAATTAATAGAAAGATATCTACAATATTTTGAATTAATATGGTGATCATTAACTGATCTCCTGCAAGATGTTTAATATTTATGATATCCGAAAATTCTAAATAGATTTTCTTTCTTGTTGCAGACGTGTCACCACCGAAAGGAGAGTACAAAACCGGCGATGTGGCGGCTGTTGGAGAGCTCCTGTTGGACATATCCATCCAGCTAGCTAAAAAGTAACTAATTTATACATTATTTAACGTGTAAGATAGTCATGCAACAACCCTTATAAAGTAAAATAATGTACGGATCACGTATGTTAAAGCCCAGCATGTGTATTTGTATCGAATTTATAATTATGTTAAAGAGGTGACAATATGCCAAAAAATAGTGTTTATTTTTCCTATAGGCAAATTTTTCATCATTTAGCAAAAGGCAGTTGTCAAAGGTTCCGTGTATTGTATTGTAGTAATTGTGACCATAACAAAGAAGGGTACTTTTCAGGTTTTTCGGCTGCTATGTTGAAAGGAAAGTACTTTTCATTGAAGTACATAAATAAATTAAAGGGCACATTAATTTAAAGGGTTTTCAGGAGAAGACTTCGGCCAAGTTTCATTGAAATCGGTACAGTCTAGTTTAGACGCTACAATCTATTGCGACACATTGGTAATGCCGACTTTCGAGGATTTTCCTCGAGTGTATTTAGACATTGATACAAATCTCAAAACATTCAAATTTCAGATTCTTTGTATCTTAACGTAAAATCCCAAATTTTGAGAAGTGGAAGAGGGTAGTTGTTTTTTTTTCTTGGTCGATTACAAAGGTTGATTATTAAAAATAATAAATCAAAAATTAATTTTATGAATGCAATTTGATTGGAAATATTTGTATACCCATAGATATCGAAAAAAAAAATTAAATTGTTACTTAATTTTTTTTAGATACATTTGCTGTTTGAATTTGTTTTTCATTATTTACCCAATAGAAATAGTGAAGCAATACTAACCTGTTTGCTGCAGATGTTATTTTAAAAAAATCTATTTATGAAGTATTCAATAAACTTCATTATATATTCATTTATTCTTGAATCAGGTGGGCAAATAGCTTGGGTTTAGTATTTGCATTTATGATATTCCTTTTTTAGTCAAAATATGATTTTTTTTATTTAGTATTTGTTTATGTTTTACGTACCATTTCAGTAGCTCAAGATATGATCCCGAAATGGAGAACCATCTGCTATTGTCCCAACGTTACATCATGGGGAGTCGAGTAGATTACTAATTCTTGTAGCTTTTATGTCGCCGAACAATCGTAAATTCAAATTTACTATTTTCACTTTCTAATTCTTGAGAGAGTAGCGACATGTTTCGCAAAGCGGACTGAAGCGCCCTTGTCAAGAGTCATCAGGAAAGCAAGGACGTGCTCTCAATGAATAATGCAAGAACCAAAAGCGTAGCGTCTTTCCGCAATAGCTTTTTTTTTAGACGTGTATATATATATATATATATATATATATATATATATATAATATATATATATATATATATATATATATATATATATTAGTATTAGTATTATTATTATTATTTATTTTTATCACTTTAAAAAAAGGTATTTTCCTGAAGTGGGGAAGAATTAACTTTAACCACTTCACGTTAATGTTTGTAGTTTTATTGGATATTAAGGAAGGCTCCTTACTATTCTCGCAGTATTCAGCAGCACAGCTTTCTGGGCTTCATTTATCGTAGCTGTTGAGAGGCCCAACTTCTCGGTAGTTACAGTGGATTTTGGAATCAGCCCATTGCTAGAGATCACTAAAGCCCTTACTGTCACTTTGTTCAGTCTGTACAGATCTTTTTAACTCGGCTGCAAGAGTTGGATATTTCCATATTTTTTAGGCGCAGACTGAGTTGGTGTTCCCATCATTCGGTACAGCGATATCTATTGTCTCTGCTGTCTTCATATTACAGTCGATCAACACGATATCAGGTCTGTTATGGAGCACAGTATGATCTGTTATAAAAGATTGATTCCATTACAATTTCATTCCTTCCTTCTGGATAAGTTCTTTAGGGTTGTACTTGTAATAAGGTATTGAATCATTCACTAACTTTATTTTTAGACCAATTGCCTGATGATAAATTTTTGCAACTAAATTAAATTTATTATTATTATTATTATTTATTTTTCACTTCTCTGCTTTATGCCGGATAAATTCAAGACCCGGGCCGAGGTCGAGGGTTCGGTATATTGGGTGTTTAATTTGAAATATTAAAAAAAAAAAATCTAATAATGCAGGCTATTCCCAACATCACCGCTTTGGATTTCCCGAAGTCTTCTGCTTATTTCAATAACCTTCAATGAATTCAATCACCTCAGAAATCAAACCATTACTGAATATTATAATGGGTAGTATATTTACTTCCACCCGTAAATTTCCGTAATCCCTCTCGCAGCTCTTGGTATTTTCGATTTTTTTTACTTATTGTTTTGGCTACATTATCATCCGCAGGAACTCCAACTTCCATGACACACGGGGGGAGGGGCTTTCGGGCTGAAGCCCTCCCAAAATTATAAAATATAACCATGTTTTACAGAAAAAAATATTAAAAACTATCTCTTAAAGTATTCTTGTTCGTATAATTACATTTAATAGGACTTCAAGGACCACCATTTCATATAGGTAGTTAATTTTTTTCTAATCAATTATGGTTATATGTGTATGAAAAAAAAAAATTTCGGACTGAAGCCCTCCCCCAAAATTAAATCGTGGACCCGCTAGTGTTCGATAATAATGGTTTTCTTTATTTATTTTTGTCAAGAGCAGTATGTGTAGTCTATTGTGGATGATACTATAGTCAGTCATCATAGTTTCATCGCAGTATATCTCCATGTGCGTTTTTCCTATAATTGCCTGTGGTTGGAGTCTTTAAAACGGCTGATGACTGACTATTAATTAATATTTTTGAACCACAGCCTTATGCACAATTTTTGCCGCGCTATTGTGCCTTGTAACGTATTCTTTAGCCGCTATTGCCTGGCAGCCTGAGGCTACATACTGTATTGATTCATTTGTGCCTTTACATATGTTGCCACTAGTGGATTAAGGATTTAATTATTTTTTGGGGGGAGGTTTCAGCCCAAAAGCGTTTTTTCATATGAATAACGATAATTACGTTGAAAAAAAAAGAAAAAAACTAACTACCACTATGAAATGGTGTTTAAGTGATTCCTAAAGTCCTTTTAAATGTAATTACACGAACAATAATACTTTAAGAGATAATTTTTTCCATAAAACATGGTTACATTTTACAATTTTGGGGAAGGCTTCAGCCCCAAAGCCCCCAACGTAGATCCGCCGTGTATGTTGCCATGACTTGTTCTAGTATCGCCAGAAACAATTAAAGATCCAGGATTTAATGTTGGAGTTAGGGGCTTCAGCCCAAAAGATTTATATATATATATATATATATATATATATATATATATATATATATATATATATATATATAAATTAATCAGACAAACAATAATAAGTTTTAAAATATTTTTTCAGAAAAAAATGGTTATATTTTATCTTTTTGAGGGGGTAGGGGACTTCAGTCCGAAACCCTCCTCCTCTCCCTGTAGATCCGCCTGTAGCCAGAAGAAACCCTTAAATCTCTGAAAACATTTTTCCTCTCGTTAACCAACAGACAGATTTTTGATTGATGTTTTCAAGAAATTGTAAAATCATTCATGAAGAGGTTTACACTTCCATGATTCAACAAGGCTCTCCTCAACTAACATTGTCGTTGGTTCTTGCCAAAGTATATCCAGACCTGTATAGTTACGGTCAAGGGTAGCAATAATCGAGAGCAATAGTGAACTACTATTCATGAAATATCTCCTTAGCCCTTACTTCCTGTTCATGACAGATCTTCAACCGACAAAGAAGTTCTCTCCATGTTTTCTAGGCATATACAGTCTTTGCACTGAGGGTTTTGAGTGACGTTTCCGTAATTTTACCATTTGAGTTCTTAAGAAGCGGTCCAGTCCATGTTTTCCAAATTCATGTCTATTTTTATGTACATATTGGATCTCTGCTTTTATTTTAAATGCAATTCTGTAATCAAGTTTTTAATCATTATCAAAATCTGTTATGTAATTTATCAAGTCATTATTATTTATCATTTAAAAAATGATTAAATGCCTCGCCTCTATAATGTGGGTGGTACGCTTAATTAAGTAGAGAATCCTGGTGATTGGGCATGATCTAGGTCAAATCACTTTGTACAACCATTGACCAAGAAGCAGTATCTTCCTTAATTATTACTGAACCCAAGACCCTTCATGGATCCTAGTGGTACATTTTTTTTAAAAAACAGGAAATAATGTTTTGGTCTAATTTATAAGATTGTTGTAGTTTGTAAGACTGACTTGCAATATTTCGTGCTCTAAAAATAACCATATTATTTTTTATAGTAATGAAAAAAATTTAACTATATTTAAAATAAAACTTCAGTGTATGTTTATGGAGTTTGACCATGTACCCATCAAATTTGTATTCCTTTCCTGAATTATACTGACTGTTGGTCTTATTGGATAATTATTGCACTTTTGTAATATTAATTATTACTTTGTTCCAGCTATGGCTTGACCTATGAAGAGATTGAGAAAGGCCTTCCGCTGATAGACACATCGAAGACTCTGATCCGGGAGGTGTGCCCTCCGTTCTTGGCCAACGTGGAGTGTAGGGCAGGCAAATATCGCCGCCTGGATGGTCTATGCACCAACCTCAAGCACCCAACTTGGGGTGCCACCAATACTCCCTTTACCAGGTAACTTGTCATACACATGATATATTTTTATAGGTTGTTAGGGGCCGATATCAGCTGAGCACAATATTGCTATATTAAATGTTGTAGATTGATCGGACCTCTGTTCGCCGATGGTATCACAGCACCTAGGATATCCATCACTGGGCACCAGCTCCCGAGGGCCAGGGTTGTCTCCAGGACAATGCACCCTGATGAAGGCTACCATGAGCATGCTGGTACAGTCATGTTGGTAGCTTGGGGACAGTTCTTGGATCACGACTTCACACTCACTGCTACACCTGAAGGTGAGAATATTCCTATGTTTGTCCTTGGTATTATTTATTACTTTGGTAAAGTTTTCATGAACCATTTTAACAACACTGATAATAAACCACTTGTATCTAACTTATTTTTTACGATGGTTCATAACAAATCAAGACTTTAAGTTACATAATCAATCAAAGGTTATGAATTTGTATTAAGCTCACACATTTTCAAATAATTATTTTCATCACTGTATTTTTTTTTTATAGTTTTAAAGACCGTGAAAAACATTTTTTTTCTCCACAATTGATAATTAGTACAAAAAAATAAAAGCCTTTAACACTAAACAATCCATGAATGTTACTTTGTTAGAAAGTATTGTTTTAAGGCCAACAGTTGCACAGGAAGGTGATTGGGCCAAGATCACCAGGTTTCCCGCTTAATTAATTAGTTGATTAAGGATACTCACTTTATAGAGGCTGGGTACACCCCAGGAAGATCTCCTGACCCCAGAGTCGACCCAGGTTTGATGAAACTGATCGAATAATTATCTTTCACAACTACATTCGAAACTGAGTGCTTGATAATAGGTAGGAGAGAATATAAACAAAATATTCTAATAACAGAAACAAAAGTATAAATAAAAATAGGAGGAAAAAAGAGTGAAAACTCGAGCAAATGTTATTTCAGATGGGGATGTGTGACTAATAAATTCATTCATTCATTACTGAGATTCTCTAATGTGGACAAAAAATACTGTATTCTTATTATAAATTGACAAAATTGTATTTTCCAGACCCAGTATCTAAGAACGAACCAGAAGAATGTTGTAGACGCCCTCCACACTTAAAGAACCCATATTGCATGGAAATTGAGATCCCAGAAGATGATTATTATTATCAAAAATATGGCCAAAAATGTCAAGATTTTGTGAGAGGTTTTCCTGCTGTCAGACCTGGTTGCAGGCTTGGTAAGTTATATTATCTTTCTACTATGTTTATAATATATTTTTTTTATTTTATATGATATTATCTGATATTCTTCTTGATATTGCAACTATAAGATAAATAATCTAAATTCCATTCTGCTAAAGGGTCCCGCACACCGTTTAATAAACTGACTGCAGTTTTGGATGCAAATACAGTTTATGGAGTTGATGAAACTTTTGGCAGGTAATAATTTTAATAATCAATTAATGATTAAATAACTTATTTTATTTTAATTTTAATTTTATGTATTTTGGTTAACTTATCTTAAATAGCATTACAAAACTAATATAATTTTAGGCATTTGAGAGCTGGTTATGGTGGTTTGTTGAGAATGAATCCAGTTTTCGGTGAATATGGCCTCAAAGATCTTCTCCCACTAAAAGTGGACATTCCTGATGAAGGCTGTACAAGGACAAATAGATCTCAATTCTGTTTTGAAGCAGGTAATTGGTTTATCTCTGTAAGTGAAGTGTATTAAGTAATATTAACTTTTGTAATTGTTATTTTAAATTTGAATATTATTTAATAAATATTTTCAAAAAGTAGGTTACTTTATGAATGAAATCCATAAATTAAAAATATAGTTGAAAATACATAAACATAATTAACTACAAAAACAGATTATTTTAAATAAAATATTTATTATATCATCAAAAATAATCTTATTTAGTAGAACATTGCAATTAATTATTGAGGAATATTTATCTACTCTTTCGCAAGATCAATAATTTTTTTGCCTCTTACTGCACATATTTTTTTAATTTATTTCCAGGTGAAATAAGAGTGAATGAACAATTGGTGTTGACATGTATGCATACGTTGATGGCTAGAGAACATAATAGACTTGCTCATGGACTTAGTCAAATAAATCCGCATTGGGATGATGAAACTTTATACCAAGTAAATATCTTTTATTCATTTATTTGTGTTATTTTTAAGTTATAAATACCAATTCTATCAGTGAAAAATGTTGAAATTATTTTTTTTTTTTTGTGCAATTTTTAAAAGATGTGATAAAAAAAAAATGTAAATTATTTATCTATACTACAATCTTAAAGGATTAATCTTAATTATTGCAGGTAATTAGCTTATACCAATCTTCCTTGAAATATATTGGTACTGGTACTGGTTGGGGAAGTAGTCCTGGCAAGTCGATCCCTGAAGGATACTTGGTGATTGGCTTCTTTTTTTTTTCTTTTTTTTTATCCAATTCTCTGGCATAGCTACCATAATGGGTGTTCGGCAGCAGTAGATCAACATGCTGGTATTCTCGTTCATATACCCACTTCTGCCAATAAACTCCGCTTAATTGACTATATTTATTTATGACTTTATTTCTGAAATTAGGCAATTGTGGTGCGGCCTGGTACACGGCTGTGCATCTTACTGGTGGAGGCTCCTTATATATTTATGTGACTTGCATTGCTGCATCTTTCCCTAAGCATCATTAGTTTTCTGCTGTCTGTGGGGGTACCCTTGCCCTACCTAGGGTAAAGTGTGAGAGGCCAACCAGCTCTTTCCATCCATATACAAATTCCCGGAATTACGGGTAATTTTCTTCATAAACAAGACTGAGGAAGTCCGCTTCTCAATGTTATAGATGCCTGTTTTTAACGATGTCCCTCCATCTCAGTACAGAATACTAGGATGTGTTCGGCCGTCTCAGAGACTCCACAGGGAGGGCCACTGGGGGGATCAATATCCTTTCCATGTTCAGCCAGTTTTCCTCAGAACCCTCTATGTTCTGTGAGAATCTGCGAGACCCAATAATCAGGGTGGACCCAGGTCGCCTTGAGTCTATCTTGTATGGTGGTGAAAAACATTCTGAAGGTGGACCCTTTCGTGCTTGTCACCCATTGTCTATTCCTCTCCTGAATGGATTCCTCCCTGATTATCTTCTTCCATTGGTTGGGGTTCTCGTCGATTCTTCTTGCGAATCCCTTCGGTAGCGTCTCCAGCACCTACACTGCCTCATGGGGCACTGTTCTGTAGGCCCTTGTGACACCCAAGAAAGCCAGTCATTGCATGTTGGCGAGTCGTCGCTTGTTCTTTTGCATGAGGCTTCGGCTCCATGGATGAGTACCTCAGGATACCCAAGACAACTCCTTTGTATGTAGTCATGGTTGGGGGGTACCTGAGTCCCTCGATGTTTGTGAACTAGTTGTATTGGGACCCTCGTCCAAACAAGCTCAGCCATTACATCATCTTACCTTATATATAGATAAAGAAATTAATTAATTAATCAGTTAATTTCAATCATGAAAATCCTGCTCACTGGTATATCTCTTTAATAGATTACAAATAATGCAAATCATGTTAGATATGTTTGATTACCCACGGAGATTCAATGACCACTAAGAATATTAATATGTAACATACATTTAATTATGCCTATTAAGATTGTTTATGGAATACAGTTCTGACAGGCTAAACACGATTTTGAGGGATTGCATAAATGATTAGAATGTATTACAGCTTCTTATTTACTGATCTCTTCTATGATACAATTTTTATTCATCGATAACTATATTGTTAGTGTCTCTCTTCAAAAATATTTTTCATTAAAACAAACTATAAAATGTAACATATATTTGAAGTACTAATAATTATGGTGCATTCAATTAACAGCTTCGTTTTTATCTATTATAGGAAGCCAAGAGAATAGTAATTGCTGAAGTACAACATATTACTTACAATGAGTTCCTGCCTATCCTTTTGGGTAAAGAAGTTATGGACAAATTTGGATTGTTACTACAAAAAGAGGTCAGTTTATCATAAAGTTAAAATTATTTAAAATTAATTCTTCTGTTTCTTAAATAAATGTAGTTGAAGCCGAAAATGACTGAAATCATTTTGTTAACTGAATTAAATTCTATACTAATATTTGATCGTATATATAATTTAAATGTGAAATTTTACTTCTACTTTTTTTTCTTCAAACTACACTTTTTCAGTCAAGTATTAGCAACTTTATATTTGTTCATTAATTAATAATTTAATTTTAAAAAATATTACAGTTACATGACACTTTATTGATTTATATAATATGTCTTTCTCATAGGGATATTGGAATGGCTATGATCCTGAGGTAAATCCTAACGTTATTGATGCATTTTCTTCAGCGGCATTTAGGATGGGTCATACTCTGCTTCCGACAGCTGTTGAGAGATGGAGCAAAGCACATAAGTTTATAGGTATAAATGCTATCAAATAAAAATTAATTATTTATTCAAACTTTTACTTTTAATTATATAAGGTTGCAATATTAATTTGTAAATATAGTGAGGAATTAATTCTTCTTCTTCATATTTTAATGAAATATGAATCATCCTTTTATCATGTTTTTGCTGTTATCATGTTTTGATATTTATTAGGTCAATGCTATTTTTAAAAGATTGACTTTAACATATATTCATTTTCTAGCTTCAAAACGACTCTCTGATTTAATAAGGAGGCCTTATGACTTATACAGAGCAGGCGTATTAGATGAATATGTAATGGGCCTCATGAATCAAGTTGCCCAAGCCATGGATGATTCAGTTACGCAGGAAGTATGTTTTTTAATTGTGTCAATCATTTTTTTTAATACAATATTTTTTCATTATAATTTTGTTAAAAATTAAACAAAAAAAATGAGTTAATTTTATTCAAAAAATAAAAAAAAAATGATACTGATTTTATTGTTTTGTTTTGTTATTAGGTAACCAACAATTTGTTCAAAAAACCTGGAAATCATTTTGGATTGGATTTGGTTTCATTCAATATGCAGAGAGGTAGAGACTTCGGAATCCCAGGATACATGGAATTCAGGTATTAGTAATTTTGATTAGCATTGGATTCACACTGTTTTACTAAGTGTTTGTCTTTGAGAATAGTTAACTATTATTTCTTAAATTAGTCATCAATTTTAAAAATATAAATTATTTAAATAAATTTCAACTATTTTAATTTTAAAAACCAGTAACTTTTCAAGTATTTTCTCCTTTTCAAACATTAAAACTATGTAATTAATATATCTAGAACTCATTTTTACTTAATTCTAAGAACAACAAATTATTTTATATGCCTATGGATTAGTATTCAATATATAAAGTAGTGCCATTTGACTGATCCATTGTATGAAAGGCACGGACGGATCTACGGGGGGGACTTTCGGGCTGAAGCCCCCCCAAAATGGTAAAATATAACCATGTTTTATGGTAAAATATATTAAAAAATTATATCTTAAAGTATTATTGTTAGTGTAATTACATTTTAAAGGACTTAAGGAATCACTTAAACACCATTTCATATAGATATTTAGTTTCTTTCTTTTTTTCCAAAGTAATTATCGTCATTTTTATGGAAAAAAAAAAGCTTTCGGGCTGAAGCCCTCCCCAAAATTAAATTCTGGATCCGCTAGTGATGAAAGGTTATACTCTACTCCATTACCCTCCGTTTTACTATAATTCAATGTTTGTAAGAAAGTCTGCACAAGTAAATAAAACCATCTCCTACTCCAAGTTTACCCAATAATTTTATCACACTGATTTTTCCACAATATTCGTATTGTTAATTAGAGCTATCAATCAAGTGTTCAGTTTTATAATGGTCATTAAATGACAGTATTTGGACACTAATTTCTGTGTTTTACGCTTCATTATAAATTTATTAATACATAACTATGTATGAAAACTATGGTGGATCAAAATGATATTGTCTTGCAGGCATGACTTTGGTGAACCCTGGATCTCCCTTTAAAAACATGTTTGCTAAATAGATCATTATTTTTATCAGTTTTTGCATCGATGAATATGTTCAAAATTCACAACTAGGTGCTGTTAGGCAGTGGGATAGCTAGATAATTTGGCCAGATTAATGTTTTAGGCTTACAAAAAAACAACACAAAAATTAGAAAAAAAAAAAGTGTTTTTTCTAATAAAAACATAATTACCTCATCTAATTGAAAAAAACGTATGTAATATTTTAGTAACAAAATTATCATTCAATATTAAGAAAGATAATAGTAAAACTAAAACTGTCTTGTGTGCCCCTCTTGGTGAATGGGGCTACTTGCTTTTATGTTTAAATTCATAAATATTATATTTTTGAATTTTTGAAATGAATTAAACATATAAAATAAAAAAAAAAAAAAGCATAAAGAATGATGGCCAAAAAAGGGATAGTTTCAAAAAGGAATTACTTTATGAGAGATATGAGGTTAGGGCTGAAAAAATGAAATAATATGGAGATTGCCTTTCTGGATATGATGTATGACTTTTGAATTGTTAATGAACAAAAAAAAAAAGGAGATGCGGGGTGGCCCAGTTGGCTAATGTGTGTGCAAACAGGTGTTGCACTACCTGATAAACCTAGAATCACGAGTTAAAATTCTGTTGCGGAGGAATTTTTAACTCGGGCATTAATCTCCCGTCCTCACACCTGGCCAGGGAAAAACCCTGTGTAGCCGAAAAGGCAAGGAAGGGGAGAAAGGAAAAAAAAAATAATAATGAACAAAATTATGAGAAACAGAAATCATTACCCATATCAAACTACAATAGGCCAGGACAAGGCTGGAATGCATCCCAAAAAGGCTGTTATTAATCATCCATAGATGCAGGAATCCTTCCACCCCTAACAAATAAAAATTAAAAGTGATTGTATATTAATTATTAATTATACATACTAAAATAATATTAAATTGCTACACAGTCTTTAGAATAAAAATTTGCTTTAACGTTTTTTAATTAACATTTTCAAGATTTATTCAAAGACCCAAAAACAACTTATTTAAGAAATAAATACTTTTTACAAATAAATTATGGTGAGAAATTTATTTAATAAGCGCTTAATTATTTTATAGAAAATTCTGTGGTCTTCCTGAGGCACACAGCTTTGAAGCTCTTTTTGGTGCTATGCCTAACACCACTATTAGCAGATACACCACCATTTATGAGTAAGTAATGTATTAAATTATAGTTTACTCATATATTTATTTAAATATATATATATCTAAATATAAATTAGTAAATTATTAAAAATAAGACAGTATATTTGATCAATAAGTCTTGTTTTTTTTTTTTAATTTACCAAAATTTCAATGCTTTAGGCCATTTTCAAGATGGAAAAAACTAAACAAATATTGTAGCCTAATTATAGTTCATTATTATAATATTTTGAAATTTTTATAATAATATTTTCCATTTATCTATTCACATGGCCTACTACTACATGAGGAGAGGTTTCAATATTGTATAATAAATGTGACATCGGCAAATTAACCCGAATGATTTTAATTTTAAAACAAGGTATGCTAATAGAGAAGTGGAAATCGTAATTATAAAGTTAATTATTATGAACTATAATAAGACTATCATGATTTCTAATGAGCTAAAGAGCAGAAACTTTGGTGAATAAAAAAGGAAGTATGACATTGGTCAATGTGATGTTTTATTATAAAAGAAATCGAATCGAGTCTACAGGGTATTTCAGGTTAAGTGGCCAAACTGAAAATATGAATTAAGGACCTCAAAACAAGAAAAAAAATTCCTATGAAGGTATGTCCGCAAACGCTTTGTTTAGGAGATATTCACACCTAAAGATTTTCATTGTTATGAATTATTTACGTTATATTAAGTAAATAAAACTTATTTATTTGTTCCAACTACTTTATTAATTAAACGTAAACATTAAATTCATATTAATTGTTGTTGCTTCATCAAAGTGATTTCCTTCAGCATTAAGACATCTCTTGGCTCTTTCTCAGGCTTGGCATCTTTCTTCAACAGCAGCAATGGCAGAACGGCACTGGATATGTGTTATTGTTTCACAAGATTCAATTATCCTTTTTCGTAAGGAATTAAGGTCATTGACTGGACTTAAATAGACTTTTTATTTAATGTCACAGCAAACAAAAAAATCCAGTGGTGTCAGGTTTGGGGGAGCGTGCTGGCCTAGTCACTGGTCCTATACGGCGAATCCATTGATTGGGATAATTAACATTTAGACATTGTCGTGGGCCTCTTCTGTAATGTGCAGGTCAATGTCTAATTGAAGCCACATATCTCTTCTCAGTTGTAGTGAAATATATTCAACTAAATCATAGTAATCATTATTAAGAAATTTCAGAAATGTGCCCACATTGAGCAAAGGCGGCTAGAAATGCGGACCTTATTAAAATATTGTCTATTGTTTCATACATTGCTCTGAAACAGGTGCTGAAAATGATGCTCACGAATTGCATGGGGATTTTCCTGTGACCAGAGATTATTTTTCTGATTTTAGATACCTCTTCTTGTAAAGGTAGCTTCACCTATCCAGAGAATTATTCCTGAAAATTGTGAATTATGCTCAACTTGATTTAAGTACCAATCTCAAAAATTTCTTCTTTGCTTTGGGTGAAGTTCATCTGCAATAAGAGTTCTCCACACTGTATATGGCCAAATCCAACTCCTAAATAAAGTGTTTGTGGACATACCTTCACTTTGAACACCATTTAATATGCATGTTGATGTTTACGTTTAATTAATAAAGTAGTCAGAATAAATAAATTTTATTTATTTCATATAACGTAAATAATTCAAAACAACGAAAATCTTTAGGTGTGAATATCTCCTAAACAAAGCGTTTGTGGACATACTGCTACGTATCAAAATGGTTTTGATAGATTTTTATATCACGGGATGCCACTGGTAATTATTGATGATAATTATCCAGAATTAGTTAATAAAATATTAACTAAACAAATTATGTCATTTGACATATTGGTCCTTGATTAATTTATTGGATTACTTCTCACAAAGGCTTGTTGTGTGTTTATCTGTTCTCTAATTACCAAACATTACCTGTGCTTATAATGATATCAATAGGTGGCATGATTAAAATAACTTTTATGTACAAATTATATTTATTTACAAGTGATATGAGAAAGAATATACATTATATTTACAAAAACTAATGAACTATACAATTGGTTGTGAAGGCATGATTCAGATGGATGGAATTTAAAATTACATTGCCATTAAATATTTATACATCTTTAAAAAGGAATTGTTGGGGATTACTTATCTAATAAGTCGAGATCATCTGGACATGGATCAGGTAGGGCCAAGGCTTCAGTCTCCAAGTTGGAAGAAAACATCAGGGACCTCCTCAGTGCCGGGCAGTCCATCAGGCCTCTCTTCTATCAGCCTCTCCTCATCCAGCTGTCCTCAGCTGAGTCCCATAAAGAAGTGTCTTCTCCGCCGAGCCCCAAGAAGAAGTGTCTTCAGCTGCGTTCCAAGAAGAAGTGTCCTCACTTTTTTTCTCTATCCCCCTCAGTAGATCTTGTTTTCCATATCTAGGGTGGGGCAAGCATGGTTACTATTGGTTGGAGTTGTGTAGCAGAAGGGATGACCACACCCCCAATGTTATGTTGAACACACCCCTTTTAGCAGGTACACGACCGTTTCTTCCTTTGCTTAGGCTTCAAAGCTTTTTTGTCCTCTTTAAACACAAGACTGGTCCTTTGCTGTTTTTGACCGCCGTTGGCCTCAAGTGTTTTAGTCCCTGCTCAAAGGTTTCTGGGTCTCAGGTATCCGTACCACTATCTAGGTAACCACTTTCCCACGTAATTATGACGGTTCTTGGGTGTCGATCCTTTGGGGTTCCTACTTGTTTTCTTGCCACTTACAAAAGGTTGGGTCGGGGGTTTCAGGTACCCGCCCAGGTGTTAGATATTATTTTTAAATATTATTAATTATCATTAGGCTATGTTCAATACATAGCAATACCTTCAGATGAAATTTTTTTCTTGTTTTGAGGTCCTTAGATCATTTTTGCAGTTTGGTCACTCAACCCTGAAATACCTGTACATTAAAATATACCAAATTATATTTTACTCTCTAAAAGATTAATCTGTAATTAAACTTCATCACAAAATACTTTATTTTAAAACAATTCATAAATTAATATCAATACACATTTTAAAAAGAAAGTTAATAGACCAAAGATGTATACAAAGTCAATATGCTCAGCTATATAATAAATCTAAAACACTTAAATTATGTAATAATAAATTGAAATAATGAGTAATTTGTTTATTTTTTTGTCTCTACCCCTAAGGATCTTTGGCATATCATGGCACAAAACTTATGTTCCATACCTACTATGAAACCTCGTTTTTCTCAAATATTCAAATAATTTTCTAATTAATTTTCATTTTCCTGGAGGATTTGTTCCATTGCCATGCCCATCTGAAAGGTATGTTTTAGAGCAGGGAAGGTGCTATATTCTAGAAGGAAATGCTTAACTGTTGTGGCAATTTGGTTTGGCGCATGTTGGGGCTTCCAATCTTTGCAGATGTTATCTTTGAAAAACAATACCAAGAAGGAGTCAAATACAACAAAAGAGAGAGAGAGAGAGAAATAACAATTTTTTGTTTTCTTTTAAGCAAGTGAAAAAGAACATAATAACAAAATAATTATCTAATGCTCCACAATAATATAATAAAAAAACACTGATGGAAAATAATTCAGAAAAACAAAATATAATATTAATTCATTGAAAATTAATGAAGAAATATTTGAAAATTTTCTGTGCACCTAATATCTTCAAGAGACAGATTGTTGTAATACTCAATAAAGAAAAAAAAAAAATCTTAATAAAACAATTAACTTAGCTACAGTAGCATATAGTTAGCACAGTCTTTATATTTATTACTTTTATTTGCATTTTATTTTTAGTGCTAGTACAAATCTTATTTACAAGGATTCGCTTTCACTTTCCTTTCTTTTCTAATTCTATTTTATTTATTTATATATTTTTGGCTTATTTATTAGGGAGTGAGGTAGCTCAGTGGGTAAGGCTCTGGAATTCTATGTTCAAGGTTCTGGGTTCAAGTCTGGCTTTGGTAGATAATTATTTATCTGTTATACCAATCATGGATTGATCTTAGGATCAGGGGACCATCCAGGGATATACCCAGCCTCTATAAAGTGTATACTCTTAATTAAATAAGTAATTAAGGGAGAACATCTGGTGTTTAAGCGCAACCTCATCCCAATCATCTTTCTGCACAACAATTGGCCTTGAAAACAGTACTTACTTACAAAGTACTTAACGCAAGACCCTCAATGGGTTGGGGTTGTTCCTTTTATTTTGTCTATTTATAATACTAATATCTAAATCTGAACTGATTTTAATGAATATGTGATGATATGATATGGGTTGATAGGATAATTAAGTTTACCTGCTCTGCTATTAATATTTATTTACAAAAACTCTCCATATTCTTAATTTGCTCACTTACGTTCTACTTTCTTCACTATGGTTACAAATTCATAACTTACCAATTTGTAAAATTCCTCTTGCAGGATTTAATACATGATTCATTTTGTATATTCTTTACTATTCTATGAAAAATAATAAATATATTTTTGTGGCATAGGCACCCTTCAGATGTTGACTTATGGTCCGGTGGGGTGAGTGAGCGACCACTTCCTGGCAGCATGATTGGACCTACCTTTGGTTGTATCATCGCTACACAGTTCAGTTATGCAAGAAGAGGAGACAGATTTTGGTATGAGCTACCTAACCAACCTTCTTCGTTCACACCAGGTAAATGATTTCATTTCTTAATAATATTGTGTAAAATATATCTATATTTATTTATAAGACAATATTCAATGGCAATAGGTATTTCTAAGGTTTTTAATTAGCAATAATTAAACAAGGAAAAAACATGTTTTACTGTGTAAAAAAAATCTTATTCAGATTTTAGAGCATTAAATAGTGTCATAGAAAATGTGAACTGATTGTAATCTCTAAAGCTTGGTAAAATTGATGAAGCAGTATTAAAATGTAATGTATGAATTGTAATACCTCAAAAAATTGCCTTTGGTACTTCTTTAACCCCAAAAATGACTAATTATTTTACAGGTATGAAAAATTTCAATATTCCTAAGCATTAAAAATTCGGTCAAATAGTGATGAACGGTACAGGACGTTGGACGCGTCATCTCTAATGCTTGATGGTCCCATTTGTCCACACCAATATTTTAAATGCATCCCTTACTTTATGATCTTGACCGGGCATAGACCAACTTGAAATCTTACATATTTGTATTAACTAATGCAGAAGAATAAATGATTGCATAATTATTATCATATCCAGATAGCCATTACTTGATCTATAACCAATTCCTGTTTAGCCTTGTTTAGTGAGCAAGTGTTTAAAAGTATAGTTGTGCTTGGCTTTAGCATGTTTCATTGTGGGACTCAAAATAGAGGAATGGTACTTGGTCTCGATAGTAAGATCTGAAGTTTTAGAAAATTGTTTTTCTTCAAAATATTGCATAAATATATTTATAGAAGATTGAATTAGTTAATCCGCAAATACTTTTTTGTGTACCTTTACTTATCTTAAATGGATACAGATTGACAATTGATTCTGTAGAACTAATAATAAAAGTTTAAAATTAGAATCCCTGCCACCTAACCAAATCTCAGTATATAAATAAAAGAACTGAATTAGTTCTGTTATGGGGAAATTTATCAAAATAATTGCATCAAGCGCATCTGTGTCCAGTATATGGAAGACCTAATGCTATGTAAAATTTGATGAGGCATGGGGCTTATAAAACTGTTTGTTAAAGAGCAGTGCTTGCTAAGAAAGTTTCACTGTACATCAAAGTCCCTGTCAATATCAATAATTATGACAGAATACGCCGAGGGGTGTGCAAAGCACTGTGTTGCCCGGCGACCCGATGAAGGATAATTAGACAAAATAATTATGAGTTCAGGTCCTGGTGCTAGGAGGGCATTTATCACTCGCCCTCACCACTGGTCCAGGAAAACCCAGTATAGCCCAAAAGGCAAGAAAGGACATGAAAAAACACAGAAAGCGCCTATGGAAGTAATCTTCATGTTCATAGAATATAAAGGTCCTACTTTTTCTTTTTTAACAAAACTAATTGATTAGGAGAGAATAGGTTATACGAGTTTGTTTTTTGATTCCTAGAGTTACCTATTAATTAATCTGAATTACTCTCCTACAGAATTTAATCATTCTAAGATTAAATCAACGGTTTCCTGTTAACCTTTTATTAAACTAGTTCTGAATTAATTTTGGATGAAGCTAACATTATCCTAAACCTGTTTGATCCAAAACTGACTCAGTAAATGCCTTCACTTCGCTAGAAGAGAAAAAAAATTTTGTTTTTATATTATTTATTCATAATTATTTGGTATTTATTGCACTGTAATGAAAAGTTACTCAATATTAACCAATTTCCCCAATACTTTACAGAACAACTTCAAGAACTTCGAAAAATTAAACTTTCAAGAGTTATCTGCGATAACACAGACCTGATTGATACCATTCAAGTTTATCCTATGGTATTACCAGATCATGAAATGTAAGTTCTATACAGATTAAATAATGAAAAAAAAATTAAAAAAATTAATTACCCAAATTTTTCTCTCATTCCAACCATTCTATTCCAGAAACCCAAGAGTACCATGTAAGAGCGGAGTGTTGCCCAGTATTGACCTTTCTAAATGGGCTGATTTCGGACAAGGAACAAATAACTTCCACACGACTCTTGAAGGTTTTGAATCTCTTCTACTCAAAAAATAATTTGTAGTTTGTACAAATAAATCATCAAAATGTTTAAATAAGGATGGTCATATGATCAAATATATATTTGCTGTTATGACTACCACAACACCGTGCCAATCTATGTGTATAAAAATATTTGATTGAGTTGTACTAATCAAATGTATGGTACAGAATTTGTGATTTATATTTAGTTTTATAATGAGCCATATTGTCTCTTAAACAGAAAACAACAAAAGAAAATCTATAATGTCATTTATGGAGAGATTTTTACCTTTCTTCAAATTTGAATATTTATAATTTGTTTTTGTGATTTTTTTTTCTTGTTATTTTACTAATTTAAAGTATTTTTGTAAATATTAGGTTTAAATGTTAGAGCTGAGATAATTTATTTGAATATTACCATTATTTTTCTTGTTTTTAATGTTTGTAAAATGTGATGTATAGATTTTTGTATTGTTAGTTATTAAGGAAAAAAATAATTTTACAAAGTTTTGTGTAGTTAATCCTTTTGAAGTTTTAATTTTAATATAGCGTCATTTTACAGAACAATGTTGTTTTATTTCACCTGGATATTCTTAAAAGTTTTTAATTGTCAGTTTTGTATCAATTAGCAAATAAAAGAGGAAAACAAGTGAACTGTTATGAATAATAGATTTGAATTATTAACTGTAAGAAATGCACTAATTATTTAATTCATGGACAGCTCAATTAAAATAAATGAATTAAGAAGAATATTTGATCATTTCAGGCTAATACACAATGAAGAATTGTACCAGTTTTTCCAAGAGTCAGATGTGATGCAGCAAAAAATAATATCTTAACCCAAAATGGAGGACAACACTCTTGTAAAAAGACTTCTTTTGGGTATATAAAGATGGGAAAATGAGATAACTTTTTTTTATCTTTTGCTGTTATAATGAAATTTTTTGATCACCATTCTTTGGACGGTGCTGGGCCAAGTAGAGAATTAATGTTTAAATGTCAAAAAAGTAATAATTTATATCTTTAAAGTTAAAAAATTAATTACATAAGTTGGTTGGGAGGAAGGATGGGGCAGCAGTAAGTGATGAAAAAACATATAAAAAAAATTAATTACTAATTCTAGAGGGATTATAATATCAGAACCTAATTCATGGAATCCCAATGGGACTGGCTCCCTTAAATTAGTTTTAGATATACAATATTATCTGATATTATGTATATATTGTGTGAATGTTTAATGTAGCCCTAATATTAATGCCCTCCAATGCGGCAGAATGTATTAATTCCCAAATAAATAAAAAAAAAAAAAAAAAAAAAAAATCAACTTTGAACCCTATAGGAATATTCCTTATGGCACCAACTTATGAATTATGAATTCTTTTTTCTTTTTTTCCCGGGAAGTTGTCAATTTATTTAGTTGCTTGGCAATAATAACTTCCAATTATTAACAATACGAGTATATTTTTAACGTTAATAATTGTGTTTCTGATTTCTGGGTCTGACCCAATTATTGGTCAAAAGGAGAATGTTGCTCTAGATGATAAATTTTAGAACATAAATTAGAAAATTGATGATGGAGCACATTATTATTTTTATTATTAGAATTAAGCCTTGCATCCACAAGAGTATCGAAATTGCAGTTCTGAAGATGGGAATAAAAGGTCCCGAAACGTAAACTAGGCTGTTAACATGTAACATTAAAAATATACTCGTATTGTTAATAATTGGAAGTTATTATTGCCAAGCAACTAAAAAAAAAGAGTTATGAATTATGAATGGGTTAAGGTAACTTAAACAATAATTATTTTGATATGTGCCTACATTTCAGCTTAAGTTTTAGGCCTTCATCAGGGCGACAGGTATAAAGTTTCTCACTGCAAGTGGTAGCCAAAAAAAAACAATATCTGCAAATAGTGGACCACATGATATTTCAAGAAGGTTGTCTGGAAGTCTATTAATAAAACCAACTATTATTAATTTGTATTATTTAAAGAAAAAAAACTATGTCTATTTAAATTTTTACTAATTATTAACTTATTTGTTAAACTTTAAGCTAGTGACAGTACAAAGAATTTTGTTCCTTAATTTTTTTAAGTATTTCTACAATATGATATACCTAGATAAAATCAGATTGTTTTGTGACTTTATTATTCCTTCTATGCCTTCCTATTTAATACTAATTTTAATGTCACGGTTATAAAATCAAGACAAAAGAGGTCATTAACTAAAAGCTGTTGCAAATAGCAATTAAATAGCGATATTTCAATATTGAGGCAGGTAGTTCAAACACAAATGTTGTGGTTATTTAAGTTGGTATTTATCTGTGGAATTTTGCAGGCAAGGTTTTTTTTTTTATATTAAATTTTTCTATCCTATATATTAGGAATGTTAAACTCAATTAAAACTGGGGCCAACAAATGGAACCAGTAAGATTTATGCTGGTTAAATCAAATTCATAAAATTTTTAAATTACTATATTTTGAAGAGAATATTAAGAAATATGGATAAGATTATTAAATTAAGTAATTGAGAGCATTTATTTTGTTCATTAAGTCTATGTTTGTACAAAACTTACTGGTGAATTGTACATAATCATGATTAGTTGATTATTTTTTAGCAATGTAATATTAAGATTATTATAATCTTTGGTTAATGTAACAATTGGCCTATCATTTACTTATAAAGGATCATGGGTAATCAATATGTATATAACAATATATATATATATATATATATATATATATATATATATATATATATATATATATTTATCGCCCCCAAAACCAGATAGAAGCTCCTAATGGCTTTTTGGTAGGATAATCAATGAAATGTGCATGAAGGAAAATCTTGTAATTTGAATTCTAAATTCTTCCAATTTTAACATGATTAGATTGTTTTGAGCATTTGGTGCTAACAACTTGGTACTATTTTCTTAAAAACATATTATCCTCTTTTAATTTTAATTTAGATCGGAGGTCTCCAACCTATTCTTTGATTATATGGTTAAATTTTTTAAAAAATATGAAATTTAGTAAATCAATCAATGATGAAGTTACTACAACATTTATCTTATAAAGCTCATTTTACTGCTAAAATAAAGTGTGATTTATAGAACAAGTTTTTTTTCTTCACAAGTTATGTACCCATCATAATTAGAAAGATAACTAAATTACTTCCAAAATAAAACAAACAAACAAAAATGGAAATCAATTAGAAATTTGTAAAATTTAAACAATTTGTACTGACCAAAGGAGTAAAGTGTATTCAAATATTTTTTTAAGAAGAAACAGAGTTGAGATTTATATTTCACAGCTCCTACGATCCTCAAATTCAAATTTTCACAGCAATTGAAAATTACAAATTTGTTTCTACAAATTGGAGCTAAGGCTATTTTTAATAATAATAATAATAAGCTATTTTTTATTTAAATCACAGAAAGTGTGATAGCTTCAATATGCTTCCACCAATCCACACTACACTAAATGACACAAATTGTGGCTCACAAAATAATTTAGAACTAGTTATAAAATAAAAACCTGTTAGCAGTTTTTACATATTTATTCTTTATGGACGTCAAAATGGGAAAATTTTGAGCTAGATAGGGAAATAGGTTTAGATTAATTAAAATGTGCATTGGCTAAGGCAAAAAATAATAAAGCGCCAGGGATCGATTCTGTGCCGTATGAATTTTTCAAAAATTCCCCAGAATGCTTATTGCAACAAATCGTTAATGTATTCAATCATTACTTTAATAGTGGAAGAATTCCACAGAGCTTCACTAAGTCAGTCATTTACCCGTTATTCCAAAAAGGAGATATCCATAAGTTGAAACTTATGGGGCATATCTTTTATTAATGTAATTACAAAATTATTGACTGGAATTTTATTGGGACGTTTATGGAACTGGGTGAACACAAATAACATATTAAATGATTTCCAAGCGGGTTTTCATCCGGGGTACTCAACCTATTGTCAAACTGACTCTGGCAAAAGAACGTCATAAAGTGTATGCATTTTTCATTGATTTTAAAGTGGCGTTGCATTGTATAGATAGGGAGGCTCTGTTTTTTAAGTTGGCCAATCTTGGGCTGTCTCAAAAATTTTTGAATATCATAAGAAGCTTACATACAAATACTAAAGCTACTGTATATCATAAAGAAGGATTAACTGACTTTTTTGAAACATCAGTAGGGTTAAGACAGGGTTGTCTGCTTAATCCTTTGCTATTTGCGTTGTTCATAAACGATTTACATGAAAATTTGGAAGAGGGTGTAGAAATCGCAGGAGTAAATATTAGATGTTTATTGTATGCAAACGACATAGTACTATTAGTCCCTTCCCCAGTTAAATTACAGCGTATAATAAACCACTTGGAGAATTACTGCCGAATGTGGAACTTGCATATACATTTGGCCAAGTCAAAAATAATAGTTTTTCGCAATGGAGGTAGACTATCCAAATATGAGAGGTGGAACTTCGGAGGAAGCCCTGTTGAAGTAGTAAACGAGTATAAATATCTTAGTGTTATCATGACCCCAAGGTCATTGCTAACAAAAATGTCCTCTACTCAGGTAAACTAGTGGTTTATAATTCGGTCTCTTGGGCAGTGATTAGTTATTTATAAGTGCTGGAGATGCCGGGTTTTCGTTTGCCACATATCCTAGCGAAAGAGGTGATAACTACGAGAGTTTATTGGTACCAAAAGTGGTTAGAATTCGAGAATAGTTGTAAAATCAATCTTGATACTGCAAATAACGCTGATCTGCGCGAGAAATTGACTGTTGTTAGACGGAGGGTAGAGGACTTAAAGAAACAAAATAACCTTCAAAAATGTCTTTATTCAAGTTTTTCTGTTTACGCAGGACTATGTTCAGTGGGTACTGTTACACCCTATCTTGATGATAGTTTTGATATTGTGACTATAGGGTCAATTTTTCGATGTAGGACAGAATTGCTCGATTTAAGCGTAAAACCATGGATGGTGGGGGACGATTGCTGTCCGGTATGTAACTCTCAAGAAAAAGAGGATATCATTCACTTTTTGGGGACTTGCCACATGTTCAGTGAGATAAGAGAGAAATGTTTTGGGCAGCGGACCTGTTCTCCAGAAGAATTATTTGGTTTCTTAAAGGGTTCAACTGGAAAGCCTTAAGTAATTATGGACAGCAGGCCACATTGCAAAGATCTCAATTAGTCAAATAGCAAACTATTGATAAAATATCGTGTTTATTTATTGTAAAGTTTGTTTTATTGTTATATTGTAATTGATGATTATTATTATTATTGTTGAATTTAAATTTCTTATTTGTTGGATTTGTGATGTATTAATGATTGTTTTTTGAAAACTCTATCTAAACAAATGAGACAGTGAAAAAGAAAATTGGTAGAATGGATGTATAAAAACATAATAATACTGTAGATATATTATTGCTCATTTATTTTAGTTATAGATGTGATAAATATTTGTTATTAATTACACACACACCTCGACAGACGGAATTTTCCATTGTCTATGTGTTGTTGCTTGTAAATATATATTTTACTTTGTATAATTTTTTTAAAAGTTTAATAAACACGTTTTCATTCATTCTTTATGGACGTGTTAAATCAAAACGTTATTTATACTGTCTTTAAAAGTGATAATTCAGCTTTCCAACGGTTGCTGAAACATTGAATTAGGATAAAATCCGAAGGAGTTATGGATGCATTAGTTAACGGCAGGCAAAAACATCATTATGAAAAGTGAAGTTGTTGCCATGACGACTATCTCAGCACAGCTCTTCTATCTTATATATTATTTCTAAAAGGTGTTTTTTTGTTGCAATGCCATACCTTTATCAATTCTTCATCAAATACAACGATTTAGCCCTCATTTTAAAGATCTTCTCCTCCTTCAGGTGGGAAAAATAGTCACATCCTCCCCTCCCCCCCCCGAAATTTAAGGGGGAAAAGTTAAGAAGGAAAAGAAACTTTATTCATGAATAACTCAAAATAAATGCTTTTTTTTAATGTACCCATGATAATAAGAAAGATTACTAAATTACTTCCAAAAGAAACCAACAAAAAAAAAAGCGTTAAATTCGGATCAATATTTAGGAAGATTTAGTCCATTACTTTTGGTATACTTAATAATTTCTTCCTCTTTAAAGATAATGCATTTACTTTTTTTTTTTTTTTTATTATTTTACCCTTTTCTTATGGCTGATATCTATTTTATTATTTCTTAAAGACATTTTTTTTTTTTTATATTTTATATTTTTTAATAATTTAGAAAATTTCATGAATTTTGTTACCTTTCCAGTCAGCATTTAAAAACAGGCCCTAGCAAAGCAATTTGTACATATATTTTGGTCTATTATGTTAAATGTTATATTGTAATCGACCAAGGAAAAACAATTAATTCCTCCCTCACATAATAGATAGGATCTACTTATTTCCATATTGTTTTGGTAATCCTTGACTAAACAAACTTTTCTGCGAATTATTCGCACGGGCCAACTCGTAAACCAAAAAATTTAAGATTTATGTATATTAAAATAAGTTTTTTGTGAACAATTTACAACATTAAAACAAGGAGACTTTTGAGCAGCTAAACTATGCTATTCTCCGTTTTTCATAAATCATGGATTATTCATGACTTTTTTTTACTACACTCCATTTGTACAAGATATATCCCAATTTTAGAAAAACCGTCTTGTTTAATAAGCTTTAAGATTTGAAGGTTTATAATGAAATAAGTTGAGATTCGTCTCCTGTGTAAAAAAAAAAAAAAAATTGTATACACCGTATGTTTGTAACATCAAGCCACTAAATATTTCACAAATTTAGTGGCCTCAAAGGGGTTTTATGGTTTAGTTTTTTACTAACCATTAATTAGTCATATATTTTTCTGTTTTTCCATAAAACTAATGAAAGCATCCTTTTAGGGATTTAGAGATCTTGCAACAGTATCCACTGTCTGTGCCATATTTTTGTTAAATATACCAGTATTTTCTTTATCAGATGATCATTAATCTATTTGATGAGAGTCATGGAGAAGAAGAGTTCCCATCCCTTATATATTATATTATATTCTTATATCATATTATATTATATCCAACATTAAAATCATAAAAATAGTATCGACCACCACATTGCACCAGCCTGTTAGTGTATTAATAATCGGAAGATGGGGGGAAAATGCTTATTTGTTATTTTATAAACTAAATTTCCTGTTAGTTTTTATGGCTGGCTTAAGATAAAAATTAAATGCTTTGAATAGCTTTTTTTGTTTGTATGAATATGGACAATGCCAAGATTAACCAGAAAATTTCAAAACTCTTCTTTCCAGTAAAATTGTTGATTTAGACTTTTGCTGCATGGCTATCATATGTCATGTTTAAAAAATGAATGGTTTTGTTATTAATATTATACAAACTTTTTTTTACTAAAAAAAATGTTTTTTGTGTTCTAGGAAAAGGTAATGATAAGTCATGAAATAAATACTTCAGGACCTTCAAAAATTGCTCTATTTAAAAGACATTATAGAGCGGATGTACATAAAGGTCATATATCGCATCATAGTTTGCACCACATGAAACATTCTTTGAAACTAAATCATAGGGAAACATTTCCAAAAACTAAAATAAAGATGAAAATTGGAAAGAATAATAATTTATTGTCAATAGTTGATCAAACAAATAATGAAAAACTTATTCCATCAAGGCAAATAAATCTACCCATTTTTTTTAGTGATAACAAATTGCACAAAAGTAAAACAGTGCCACATCATAAACTAACAGCTATCTTAAAAAATAAACCCAAATTTAATAAGACTATTAAACACTTAAGCGATTTAATACAATTTAAAACTAAGGATGGTAATACCAAGAAATCAGAAAAAGAAGAAGAAAGTATTCGAGAAAAAATTAAAGAATATGATACTGAGGAAACAGATGTAGATAGTGAAATTAGCAAAGAAAACATAAGAAAATATACAAAACTTTTATATGGAAAAAGACAAAATTGTCCTTCTGATGGTTTCTTTCCTGATTTATATTCATGCAAAGCTTATCATTATTGTTCAAAAGGAGAAGATCACCTGATCCAGTGTGAGAGACCCTTTTTTGTCTACAGTCCTTGGAACAAATCATGTGTAAAAAAGAATAAAGCAACGAAATGTTTTAAATTTAGCTGTAAGAATAAATACCAAAGAGTTCCTTATGGAGGAGATGCAAATATTTATACCTTGTGTCAAAGAAAAAGACCAACTCAAATTTTCAGATGCCCTAATGATTTGGTATTTTATGAAAGTTCTCAGTCTTGTCTACCTAAATGTCATGCAACATTCTTTGCCGATCCAGAGGACTGCACAAGATTTTATAAATGTGAGACAAAATATCAGAATTCACCACCTATACATAACAGCTGTCCTTTACACCATAGATTTGATGAACATTTAAGACAGTGCACTTCTTCATATCTACATAAATGTCCAAAAGTTATTTCTAAAATTGTCCCTATAATCGGAAATAAGACTACTTTTCATTTAAAAGAACATCATTTTCCAAGAGTTATTTCTAAAATTAACTATGTATTCGGAAAAAATTTTATTCCTCAATCGAAGGAAAATCATGTTCAAAAGGGTAATTCTGAAATTACCCCTACAATCGGAAATAAGCTTAATTCTCAATTGAAAGAACCTAATTTTACAAAAGCTATTTCTAAAATTACCCCTACAATCGGAAGTAAGGTTATTTCTCAATTGGAGGAACCTAACTTTACAAAAGCTGTTTCTAAAATTACCCCTAAAATCGGAAGTAAGGTTATTTCTCAATTGGAGAAACCTAATTTTACAAAAGCTGTTTCTAAAATTACCCCTACAATCGGAAGTAAGGTTATTTCTCAATTGGAGGAACCTAATTTTACAAAAGCTGTTTCTAAAATTACCCCTACAATCGGAAGTAAGGTTATTTCTCAATTGGAGGAACCTAATTTTACAAAAGCTATTTCTAAAATTAACCCTACAATCGAAAATAAGGTTATTTCTCAATCGGAGGAACCTAATTTGGTACCCACGACAGAGAAAATGGCCACATCAAATCAGAAACCATCAAGCGACGCTTCCAAATTTGTATCATTGCCTTTATCAAGTTCATCTCATAAATTTCCACAGACGAAAATAGATTTTCTTAACGTTAACAAAAATCCCATAGGAAAAAAGAATCATTTGACTGTAATACACATTCACTCAGAACAAGAGAAAACGTACGGCGACAAATATAAAAGCAACCCTAAAATTAAGGTCCCAAAACATCCAAAAGATTTGATGAATGGCAGAGAATTAATGATACATGCAGGTGATAATGCGCACCAAAATACTTTATCATCAAGTTTGCAAGAACCGATTACTCCTGTCGATAATGAAATTATTTCGATTGAGAACCATGACCTAGAGTCTCATACATCTAACTTACCAGATCATCCTTTTAAGGCCTCCGTATCTGTTCCAAACGAGCCCAAAGCACCATTTACCTCGGTTATTTCATCCATGGAGCCACCTAATGTTGAAGAAGTTGAAAAAAAAGAACCAACTATCAAAGATCGGTATGAACAAATCCATACAGACGAAATCAATACTGAAAGAAATAACGAACAGACACTAACTTACGAAACGGACCAACCAAAATTAATAATGGACGAACCCCTGAAGGAAACTATACCAAAATATTCTTACACTGAAACATTGTCTCCTTCTGAAGCAAATAATGTAGAAACCATTAAACCAAGCTTAAAAGCAAATCTTCCGCTTTCGCTTAGTGTTGTTGATGAAGCAACATTGGGTTCAGAATATTCGTATTATACGCCAGATAGTTCAACAGATACAACTGAACCGATTCCAACAAGTCCAGATGAATTCATATCAACTGAAACCCATAACCCCCATGACTCCATTGAAACATTACACATTCCAAAATTAAATAGAAAAGAAAATTCACTTTATAATCCCTCATTGTATTCAATGGAAGTCGCTGAAAGTATTGAAGACGAAACAAATAAGAAACCATTAGGAGATGAAGTCGTGTTAGAAAACAACACAGTATCTGATCACTCAGACATTTCAAATGCACCTAAGGATGATATCGGAAAAAATATCGAAAACACAACTCCACGAGTCGATGGAAACGAAAGCACGCACGATGTAGATTTTGGAAATAAGCAGGATAATGATGATTCGCCAGATCGTAAGCTTTCGCACTTGTATAAACTTGTAGAAAAACTTGAACAAAGCTTTCCGATATATATTCCCGAATCTCTTGATTCATTAAGTAAGTCAAATTTGAATAATTTGGAACCGCCTCCAGATGATGTAAACCACATAAATTCTGAAGATAGTCCTATTATGTCACTTGAGGACCGCTTTAAAGTGCCAGAACTAGATAGTCCTATTATTTCACCTGAGGACCGCCTTAAAGTGCCAGAACCAGATAGTCCTATTATGTCACTTGAGGACCGCTTTAAAGTGCCAGAACTAGATAGTCCTATTATTTCACCTGAGGACCGCCTTAAAGTGCCAGAACCAGATAGACCTATTATTTCACCTGAGGACCGCCTTAAAGTGCCAGAACCAGATAGTCCTATTACTTCACCTGAGGAACCCCTTAAAGTGCCAGAAACAGATAGACCTATTATTTCACCTGAGGACCGCCTTAAAGTGCCAGAAACAGATAGTCCTATTACTTCACCTGAGGACCGCCTTAAAGTGCCAGAAACAGATAGACCTATTATTTCATCTGAGGACCGCCTTAAAGTGCCAGAACCAGATAGTCCTATTAGTTCACCTGAGGACCGCCTTAAAGTGCCAGAACCAGATAGTCCTATTATTTCACCTGAGGACCACCTTAAAGTTCCAGAACCAGATAATCCTAACATTTCACCTGAGGACCACCTTAAAGTGCCAGAACCAGATAGTCCTATTATTTCACTTGAGGACCGCCTTAAAGTGCCAGAACCAGATAATCCTAATATTTCACCTGAGGACCGCCTTAAAGTGCCAGAACCAGATAGTCCTATTATTTCACCTGAGGACCGCCTTAAAGTGCCAGAACCAGATAGTCCTATTAGTTCACCTGAGGACCGCCTTAAAGTGCCAGAACCAGATAGTCTATTAGTTCACCTGAGGACCCCTTAAAGTGCCAGAACCAGATAGTCCTATTATTTCACTTGAGGACCACCTTAAAGTTCCAGAACCAGATAATCCTAATATTTCACCTGAGGACCGCCTTAAAGTGCCAGAACCAGATAGTCCTATTATTTCACTTGAGGACCGCCTTAAAGTGCCAGAACCAGATAATCCTAATATTTCACCTGAGGACCGCCTTAAAGTGCCAGAACCAGATAATCCTAATATTTCACCTGAGGACCGCCTTAAAGTGCCAGAACCAGATAATCCTAATATTTCACCTGAGGACCTCCTTAAAGTGCCAGAACCAGATAGTCCTATTATTTCACTTGAGGACCGCCTTAAAGTGCCAGAACCAGATAATCCTAACATTTCACCTGAGGACCGTCTTAAAGTGCCAGAACCAGATAATCCTAATATTTCACCTGAGGACCACCTTAAAGTGCCAGAACCAGATAATCCTAATATTTCACCTGAGGACCACCTTAAAGTGCCAGAACCAGATAGTCCTATTATTTCACTTGAGGACCGCCTTAAAGTGCCAGAACCTGATAGACCTATTATTTCACTTGAGGACCGCCTTAAAGTGCCAGAACCAGATAAACCTATTATTTCACTTGAGGGCCACCTTAAAGTGCCAGAACCAGATAGTCCTATTATTTCACTTGAGGACCGCCTTAAAGTGCCAGAACCAGATAGTCCTATTACTTCACCTGAGGACCCCCTTAAAGTGCCAGAACCAGATAGTCCTATTACTTCACCTGAGGACCCCCTTAAAGTGCCAGAACCATCTTCTGCTGAGGCTGTTCCTGAAGAATCTATAGTCACTTCAAATCCGACTGTCACCCAAAATGGATTAAATTCTCAATCGGAATTCGATGAAGATTTGGATAAATTGGACAATATTATAGTTACTAGCCCCGGTCCGATTGCTGGTCTAGAACAATCTACCACGCCCTCTACACCATTCGAAGAACCTACATGGCCAAGTACTAGCCCTACGGTTGATCCCAGTCCTCCTCTTGATCCTAGTTCAGATGTTCCCAACCTAAAGCTTGCGGGCACAGAGCCGCCCGCCTGATGCCATTCTTGCCGTGAGTGTGCCTGTATATTTCTAATCTTTATCGCTTTGGCTACAGTTTTTCCGTTGCCTGTTGCAGATTGAAAAGTTTTCTATTAAATGTTGAATATTTATTTTGATAAATATCTGATAATTAATTGTGTGTGAATGATCACTCTGAAAGTAGTAATTTATATTGTATTTTTTTAAATTAATCATTATTGTTTTACGTGGCATGTTGTAGATGGATGAGATTTCAATTCAATAGTTTTATAATTCCTTTTTTAAATATATGAATATTTAAAAATCTAACAAGAGTTTATAGATATGAAATTCAGAAATAGTACTTATAGAATAGAATAGAATAGTATAGAATAGTTTAGAAAATAAACTTTATTCTGGGAAGATGTCCCCTTAGAATAACAATAATGTACAGTTACAAAGAAAAAAAATACAAATCTGAACAAAAACTAACTCAATAAAGATTCAAACAATATATACAACAACTTAAATAAAATAGTATGTAAATTACTAAAAAATAAAATAAAATCTTCTCAACTATATTTATAATTTTATATAAATTATATATATATATATATTTTATAATATATAATAATAATAAAAAAATAATAATAATTCATTCATGGATATAATATTATTGCTATTGTTTTGAATAAACTCTTTCTTTAGCAGTAAATAAAAAAATAATGAAACTGTTAGTTACACTGTATTTAACTTATTTTATAACTAAGTATAATGCCACATCGCTTCTAATTAATTTCATTCATTCTAATTAATTTCAATAATAATTCATTCATGGATATAATATTATTACTATTGCTTTGAATAAACTCTTTCTTTAGCAGTAAATAAAAAAATAATGAAACTGTTAGTTACACTGTATTTAACTTATTTTATAACTAAGTATAACCTCACATCGCTTCTAATTAATTTCAAAATGTGTTAATTTAATTTAAAGATGTTTATTACTAAACATAGCTTTATATTTTCTTCTATTGATACCATTTATATTTTCTCTTTAAATATGTAAACGATTGCTGTTTACAATCAATAAAAACACCAAAACTCAAGTCGAAACTAATAAATATGCCCACTGCTGAAGAAAGATTGAGAACCCCTGCCCTTGTTTATATGTCGACTCTTCAGCTGTATAGTTGCATAATTTTGTGAACCGAAGGTAAATGACACCATGTCCAATTTTTCATTAAAGAATTTAGTAAAGAAGAAAAAAATGTTAATAGCTCAAAGTCATGGAATAATGGCTTTCTCAACAAATAAAAAACTGGGACATGGTGTGTCCTTTATTTCCAGAAAACATATTTTGTAACAAAAATACAAATTTTAAAAGCACAAAGTTATGGGTTTCCCTTCAACAAATACAAAAATGGACATGAAATTCTTTGTCATATGTTTATGATGACTTTCTTACTATTATTTTATTTTATTTTTCTATACTTTAAGATACTTTGAGTTAACAACCAATGAAACATATCAAATTGTGACTGAAAAAAAAACTTTATTTATGATAACGTTTATTTTATTTACATTTGTTTATTTGTTATGATAACGTTTTCATATCCAGTCTCATTAATGATAGAAGGAAGAAATAAAATACATGCGGGCTAAGAAAGGTACTACTATAAAGGAAGAACTACATATTCCTTTCTCAAATTTACACATGAAATACGGCACCTTCAGTTTTTCGGCAAGTTATATAGAATGACTGAGAAGAGGACACTAACGAAAGATTATTGCAATATTCTAGAAGTTGAGGGGTAGTGTAGTAGCCATTGGGAATGGACTTGAGAGATCACCACGCTCGAAGTCAAAGAAAAAAAAGGAGATTCATGGATCGTAACTCTGCTTAACAGAAAATACTTTTGGATAGTATTTGGTAAAAAGATAACAAAAAAAAGTTTTTTATTATTAAAAAATGTATATTCCATTATGTATGTATGTATTAATATAATGTTACTTTTATATATGCGTGTTCAATAACATTTTTAACTGAGTATTCATCAGTTATCCATCTAGCTTGTCACTTAGAGAAGAAGTTATTATGTGTCCGATCAAATCTAGTAAAAAGTAATGAAACGTCAATTCTACAAAGAAGTTACGTTTAGCAAGAACTGAGATATTGTCTGTTCCTTATTTCAGTTTCATCTAAATATTATTTATTTATTATTAACACAAATGTAGAACTTTATATTAAATTTGTGAATACCTTTATTTGTTTTATGAATGTCATTTATAAATAAATCATTACTGTATAAACTCCACAGAAATGCCAGAGCACATGTTAAAAATTCTACTTAAAAAGTAGCTTGATGAATAAATTGATTCAAATGCACCAGATATTTTATTCCTTAGATTCCCATTTTGCTCACTATTATACCAAGGTTATAGTCTGTTGGAGGATATATTAATTGAGAGAAAAAACAAATCTGAAATGTACATATATTTATAAAACATAAAATCCACATTTTTTAATTTCCTCACTCCAGAGAATACAACAGTACTTATTATGTTTTATTTCTAAGCTTTTTTTTATGCATAATCTATTTATTATTGAAACTTAAGGTAAAATTATTTGCAAATATGATAATTAAAAGTCGATTTAATTTTGGTAAAATTAATTTGCTGTAAGTTTTTTTTTGCTAACCACAAAAAAATATTTCAAAATAAGGAAATTATTTTACTAGTTTATATTAATATTTTGCCTATTAAATCCACTCATAAAGTTAGATGTTAATTTTTTTTAAGGCATGGATTATTTGTTTATTTTCTTATTTAATAAATGATAGTTGCAGTTTGATATAGCTCGATGTGTCCTATTATCATTCTGCGAAGACAAAAATACCTTATTTTAGCTTTACTCTGATCAAGGCGTATAAATAAGACAAATTATTAATAAACAGTTACCTATGGCAGCAAATTCGCATACCAATGGTTAATGGCAAAATATATATATATATATATATATATATATATATATATATATATATTATATATATATATATATATATATATATACATGAAGCGAGTTAATGCAATAAATATTTTGGGTAGAATTTCTTTTTCTCGGTCCATTACAATATCGACTATTAAAAATATTAGACTAAAACATATCTTAAAAATCCAAATAAATGTATAATTTCTTTAATTTTTATTAATTTGAATTAGCAACTATACAAAATCAACAACAATGATATAATTGTTTTTAATAGAATTTAATAGAATTAAATTATAATACTAATAAAATAATAATAGCATAGCATTAAATACCAAGAAAATATTATTTGTTATTTTATTAAAAAACATAAACATATTTTAATATTTTTGAAATACATATAATTATACGATCGATTCTATAAATTAATTATGATTGTTTTTTTGTGAAAATGAGGTAATATAAAAAGATTTCTATAACTCAGACCGATCCAAGGCCTGGATACACGAAGGTCATGGCTAAAAGAGTTGAAGCAATTCCCTGCTTGGTGTGGAGGATGAAGGGTAGGTCGCTACTAGGCTGTGTGCGCCATTGTAGACGAGGTCGAAGATTTTGAGTTCGGAATCTGGTACCTGAGGGACGTTTGACTCTGACACTAATTCCTCGTCCTCTCCCCTGACCCGAGAAAAAACCTGAATAGTCGGAAAGACGAGGAAGAGAAACGGAAAACAATTATAGCTAAAAAGAATAAGACCACTGCAATGATAATAGAGTCAACATTTTCAAAATTAAGGATTTCGTTTGAATAACATACGAAGTAAGCACACTGCTTTGATAATAAGTTTTACTGTTGATATTAAGCAGAATAAGCAACCGAGAAAAGTTAAATTTTTGAACAACTTAATGTAAATTTAAAAAAATGGTCTCGAGCTTTGTTTATTAAATATTGGTTTATTATTTTCAATAATCAACCATTGTGATAGTACAAAAAATTAAAAAACTTAACCCCCTCTCAAAGTTTGAGGTTTCACGTTATAGAATACGTAGAATTCGAATACATTTTTTTTTGTCCGTCCACTGTCCGCCGTCCGCCGACCTCACATTTTATCCGAAACTACTGGACCGATGTTTTCCAAATTTGGAATTAAAATTAGAGGTCACGCGAGGACGATCCTCCTTCATCGACATTTCTATCGGCCTTTTCCTTTCAAGATGAAGACCTTAAAACCTGCGTTGTTATAGATTGTGGCGCCTAAACGAATTTATTGATTTCAATGAAAATTCGCTAAAGTCTTCTTCTCGATGTCCTTTAAATTTATTTATATAACATACTTCAACGGAAAGAAGCTGTAAAAAAAGTTACGAAGGATGGTAAGATTAGTTTCCGAATAACTCAAAACCTATACAACTTTTTTGTAGATATTTAAAAGTATACGGAATTTCTTAAAAAACGAAAAAAAAATCGATAAATAGGACAATTAGGAGCAAAGATATGGTCTCCAGATGTTTTTTACGTTATTTACAAAGGTTATCTCCTTTGTTTCGTTTTTAATTTTTGAATGTGTTACTGAAGTAATACTATTTTCTTTTGCATATTAATAATGATTAAAAAAAAGTTTAGTTCTGTAATCGGAATCACCTTTTATTTCTTTTTCTTAGTCAATAGGAAGGTAATGTTACTTTTAATGTATAATTGCTTGGAAATAATAAACCATTGTGAAATAATTTGCAGAGTTTTTTTTTTATTATTATTAGCCAAACATAAAAGTTCAACATCAAATTAAATTTGCAATCTGGAAATTTCTTTACAATGAGCATTTTTTTTGGCAGCTCCACAGCGTCCCATCACACATCCAGGATATAGATCAGATCAGCAGGTCTCTTGGTCACCGCCTACGTAGGCACTAGCGAATCCAGGATTTAATTTTGGAATTAAATAAATTCTACATTTAATTTTTTTGGGGGGGCTTCAACCCGAAAGCTTTTTTTTTCATACATATAATGGATAATTACTTTTGGGGAAAAAAAATAAACTATGTACCTATATGAAATAGTGTTTAAGTGATAATATGATATATGATAATATATATCATGATACATGTAATAAACTGATTAATGAAAGACTCCTTTTTGTATAGTGTTTTATCTTTCCCTTTTCTCCTATGCATTGAACACTGTTATCATGTTACACCAACCTTATTCCCCACTCCCAATATTTCTTAAGTGTCGATATTCGTTTATTTAGAAATATTACATTCTGTCACAATCAAGGACATTTATAATAGTGTTCAGGGAGCACACTCACACTCTATTTACAATAAACTCAACACTATACAATATTTACAGAATCCTTTTACTCAGAAGAACTCTGAGCCAAGCCTTTCAACCCACTCGTGGAAGGAAAGGCTGGACTGTAGGAGATCCCAGCGCCTCGCACTGAGCCGCATTACTGGTATTAAGAACCAGCAGAGGCTGAGGAGAGGCGCTATAATCACACATACTTGGCTTGAGTGGATCTTGGCTTGAGGATCTGACCATTGCTAAAACTCCAATATATGCTTATTCGCAGAAGATCTCTGGGCCACTGCCGCTTCAACCTTCGAGGAGGATTGTAAGAATGGGTGCTGGATAGAGATTGTGCTAGGGAATTTGGATGATAGGTAAGGTTCTGGTGAAATTTGGAGATTTTTTCTGGGACAAGGTCTAGGACAAATGGGATGGTATAGGGTTTTGTTAGTTACATAGAACGGAGCATCAACTGTTGTTCGAAGGACTTTAGATTGAAAGGATTGGATGCGTTTGATGTTAGAAAATTTTGCTGTCCCCCACAGTTCAAGTCCTTATGTCCATATAGGTTTTATGATTGTCTTGTAGATAAGTAATTTGTTTACAATAGAAAGTTAAGATTTTCTGTTTATTAGTCTATATAGCTAGCCGTAAGTGTCGATGTTAAAGATTCAATTCTGCAAACTTGTTCGGTTATGTCGCTTGCTTCAAGTAGGAATTTTAAGTTATCATATGGATACACTAGCCGAAAAAAAAATCACACACAACTTTCACTTACCAATCTACTATGAATAGAAATTATTTTCTGGCAATGCTGGGCTATTATAAATTTTTTTGAAGTGCATTTTAAACGGAGCTAAAGCTTACAGATAACAATTCATTAAGACCATTATAATTACAAAATTTCTATTTAATATATCGACAACAGGCAATAAAAATCTAGTCACTCCATCTGCTTTTATAAACCACACAACTTTCTTTGCTTTTATGAACTTCAGAATGACTAACTCTAATTTCAATTTTTTTAAGTGATGTCATTTTAGTGATATTTTTAGTTGAAAAAGATATCTATGCAGAATATGAGTAAGTTGATTCCGGAGGTGGTGCTTGCAATGTTGAAATATAGAACTTAAAATAAAAGTATAAATTTAGGTACTTATTTCTTATGAGAAATGTTCTTTGGGAAAGATAATTTATTAAATATCTATAGAAAAAAGGTTTTTTTAGTCTTAACAATTAAAAAAGTAAATTTTAAATTTATCCACATTTTCGACTCTTCAGGGAAAATATCTTTCCTCCTATTTGTCCGATCTTAACGATTTTTTTTTTGATTTTTTAGGAAATTCCATAAACTAAAAATTCCATAAAAAGTGTATACTTTTTGACTTATTTGGAATTTAATTCTACCATTCCTCGTAACTTTTTTCCAGCTTCTTTTCGTTGAAGTATGTTATATAGATAAATTTAAAGGGTGTCGAGAAAATGACTTTAGCTAAGTTTCATTGAAATCGGTACATTCGTTTAGGCGCTACAGTCTATATCAACGCAGGTTTTTCTGCATTTTTATTTTTTTCTCCTTTATTAACTTATCAAATTCTTCCAATAGTTATATTTAGCATTTTTTCATTACTTTGAATAATGTGAAATGATTAACTTTTTTAAAATAAACCATATTAATGGTACTTTAGAGGAAGACATATATGAACATTGGGCATTTAAGCTCTGTAAAGTGGCATCAATGGGGATAAGAACTAATTCATATTAAAGACCACTTAATTATACAATGATACACCGAGTTTAATCAAAATCGTTAGAGCCGTTTTTGAGAAAATTTGTGAAAATGTGTTTCAGCGTTGATATAAAGTGGCACTTCCGGTTAGCCGATTTTAAGGAAAAAGTTGCCGTCACATCTAAGGCATATACCTATCTTAAATACGTAATATCACTTTCGTAGGACTTTTCGTTTTTGAGCAAGGCTGCTAACATACAAACACACAGATCATTTTTCGGGACTTGGCCATTTCAACTCAGGGTACCTCAAAACGTCTATTTCCGTTGAAAACTCAGATTCAAAAATTTTCTCGATCGCAATACTTACCCTTACTATATATTACATATACACGTAAGTGAAAGTAAAAAAATAAATGAAACTGACTGGGATAAATAAAATATGAGGTTTTTTTTTTTTTACAAAATGTTTTATTATAAAAAAACTTAATAAAGAGTTATATAAAAATAATTATGTATAAAAATCTGTACAATTATTTATAAGGTACGAAGAAGTGTTGATTGATCGATGGCCGTTGGTGTTCAGTAAGCTCCGCCGCCGCCAGAGGGAGGACCGTATTGGGACGAGGGTGCCGAAGGGGCGGGGGCCCCGTAGCTGTCACCCGGGGCAGAACCACCACCGCCCCCTGAGGCAGGGGCCCCGTACTCGCTCTGGGGGACTCCAGAGGGAGCGTAGCCTTCCTGTTTCTGCCAACAGAGATAAATACTTTTCATTATTAACCAATATTATAGATAAAAAAACAAAACAATTTAAATAACTGTTAATATAAGTTAATGAATTAAAACATAATATTTTACTCCTGGACTAAACTCCTCTAAGAATAATAACATAGTTCCATAATTATTAACATTAGTATGGCTTAGAGAATAGAAAATGATGTTTGATTAACTTGTTGAATTGTTCGGTGTAACAAGCAAGTCAATTTTACATGTTTCTCCAAGTTTGAATATGAAGTAGATAGTGGAGCATGAGTTGTTTAAAGAAATTAGTGGACAACACGGGCGGATTTACGGGGGGGCTTTCGGGCTGAAGCCCCCCCAAAATGGAAAAATATAACCATGTTTTATGGGAAAAAAATTTATGAAATACCTCTTGAAGTATTATTCTTTGTGTGATTACATTTAATACTACTTAAGGGATAACTTAAACACCATTTCATATATGTAGTTAGTTTCTTTCTGTTTTTCCAAAGTAATTATCGTTATTTTTATGAAAAAAAAAAAGGTTTCGGGCTGAAGCCCCCCCAAAATTAAATCCTGAATCCGCTAGTGGTGGACAAGACTGACGTGTGGAGACAGGCGTTTCCAAAGAGGAGGTAGCACGAATGACGAAGGATTTGCTGTAAGAAGTGGCTTTATGGAATAAATAAATCTATAGGTTCCCCAACCTATAGATTTATAGATTGGGGAACCTATAGATAGTGGATGGTGTGAGATAGTGGATAAAAGAAGGTAAATTAAGGAGTTCTAGGAGGTAGGGAGGGTTTTTTTGTTCTGTAGTCTTGGAAAAGAAAAATATCAAGAAGGAATAGCTGACATTTTATGAAATGTCACTTAATGTTCTTTTGCAATGTAACATCACAACCATCCCTACAACAAATAAATGTTTCATTGTTAACATTGTTATTTTTAAGAAATCCTTGAGAGTCCAAGGCACGGGCTGATCTACGTGGGGGCTAGGAGGAGAGGGGCTTTCGGGCTGAAGCCCTCCCCCCCTCTCCAAAATGGGAAAATATTGTTTTATAGAAAAAAATATTAAAAAATGATCTCTCAAAAGTATTATTGTTCGTGTAATTACATTTAAAAGGGCTTCAGGAATCACTTAAACACCATTTCGTATAGGTAGTTAGTTTCTTTCTTTTTTTTCAAAGTAATTATCGTTATTTTTATGAAAAAAAAAAGCTTTCGGGCTGAAGCCCCCCAAAATTAAATCCTGGATCCGCTAGTGGTCCAAGGAACCAACTAAATGTTAGTGAGAAATCGAGTCAAGTGCACAGTTGGCTTTCAGCTTAAAAGGAGTTATACAAAATATAACTGTTATATTGTTTTGGAACATACAGTCTTCCAAATGAGTCGAAATAAACTAGTATAGAACCATGGATGAAAAAACAGATCTTTTGAAATCAATCAAGCAGAAAAGGAACCATTCATATAATTTAAAGGAGAGTATTATTTTATATTTTTATTTTAGTTCATAAGTAGATAAAAACTCATTGATTATAAAAGCTATAGATCTTTAGTCAGCCTCACTAAAGCAGTCTGGAGCAGACACTTTTTAATATAAAGTTTCTCTCTAGGATATCCAATGAAGGTAGATACATATAGGATCCACATTATCAGCCTGAAGACATCCTTCAGAAATGGTGAATTTAACATAGAGTCTCATCCTACAGATTTATTTCTTAATTGTTATTGGATATTGTTTGAGAGCTAACAATCCATAACAAATTAAACTAATTCTTTACAGGTTTTCTGTCAAATCGTTGCTATTAAGACGCAATTTGAAAGACCTTGGGTAAAAAGAGTATTATATATTTATAACATTTATCAAAAGCTATATCATAGGATCTCATTTTAAATTAATCGTTAAATAACTCAAGGAATTCAATCTGTTTTCGAATGATCTTCTTCCGAGGGAAAGAAAAGAGATTCCATGCCGACACGGAAGGAGATTCGAATGGTAACGGGTGAGAGTCAGTTCAATTATATCACGTGATACAGAAACTAATTTATTACTATGTGCAATGCAGCTCTACACTCGTAAAGTGGCGAAGAGAAAGTTGGATAAAAAGAAATACGGCACTTGCTAAATGATATGCGTGTTGTTTCGTAGATTAGACGGAAAAACATCGCAACAACGAATCCATAATGCAAATGGAATTTAGTTTAATCATTTCTGATTTTCCTGACATGGACATCAGAAGAGGGAAAATGCACTGTCAAAGTTAAGCGTCGCGTTTGTCTAGTTGGACAACAATGAGGGATATTTTTTTCCCCGTTGACAGCAAGTTGATGGCAGCAGATATCCCACCTCTCTCACTGACCGAAAGACAAACAGATGATGGTGCAGCGACCCACTTAGTTCTGTCAGTAATAGTTCTCTGAGGGGAAAGTCTTTTTTGTTTCTTTTACTCCCGTTTCTTATCGTCACTGGAATATCTCCTTTTCATACTTTCTGGCAATTGAAGAGAGAAACGACCGTCTTTTCAATGACAGTTTTCAACTTATTTTTCAACCTAAAAAAAAAGTGAGAATCCCTAAGTATGTTCCAATGACACGCCCACACGTCAGGATGCTTGTGCAAAGTTCCATAAGAAATCAATGCCTTCATGTTTGGCTCGTGGCACAGAGTGAAAATCACATAGTCTCACCTACATAAGAACTGCATTGTTTACATTTCTTACACGTATTTATCCTCGAAATATTCTTATATATGAATTTAAACTGATAATATTGTTTTCTTTGTATGAATTTAGGAGGATAAGATCACAATTTTTCAGCAAGAATATATGCAGAGATGATTTTTACTTTAATAATATAAAGTAAGGATGTGTTTTTACTTCACCACATTTATTTACATTTTTTCATCGTCTACGTTTCGGTTAGTAAGCCATTTTATTTAATCATGCTTCTTACATATAGTCCATAATTGATTAATTGGACACATGATTTCAATCCAAACTAGTCAAAACACAGTCTTACTTTATGTTATTATAAATTATTTCACCTAAAAAAAACAAGCACAAATTCTTACTTTTTTTTTCAAAATAGTTTTCTGTCATACCATTACCACCCACATCAGTTTTCGTTCAGTTTTTTTCCTGTATTTTTTATAAATCAATGAGAAAATCACATTGAATGTTGAAACAGTAGTCAAGTGCGTCTTTCAAGTAGTTTATGTTATTTTCAATAAATATTACTTCAAAACGTTTTGATTCACGTTATTTGTAAATTTGATGTAAATATATGGATTGAATTTATATTTAGTTAATATATCACAGATTTAGAAAAAAAACAACAAGTAAATGCCTTTTTCGAAGCATTTGGTTATGGCGGACTTGGCGTATAGTGTTTAGTTAAACTCGTAGTAAAAATTAACAAAAAACAATTATTTATGTAAAACACTTTAAATATATAACTGTTAGAATTGTATTCATTTTTTAAAAATTTACTTTATTGAAATCAATTAATTTACTTAATAAAACAATGGTCTAATTAGGCAATCCCCAACACACACGCACGCTTCATTTCAAGCACATTATATAAGCCCACTTAATAATATGAAAATTTTAGTTATTTGATTATTTCACTTCAATTATAAATTTAAACGCTAAGGGCTTATCTAAGGTTTTGTAAAATGTGTAGACAAAATGCTGATGTTATTCTTCCATGGTCGGATTTTGAATACATCTGAAATATGTAATTTAAAATAATAAAATCTGATAAAAAGTATAATATTTGTCTTTTTATAAATTTGGATCTTATTATTGATTTCCCAAGAGATATATCGCCATTTCCTGCCACAAATGAAGAGGACAATAAAACCCTGCAGTTGAAGAAGAGCAGCTTTGAATTGCCGGGCCATCAAAGATAACAGCACTTTGACATTTCTAAAGCCCGTCGTTGCAAGGCGGCTTAGTAGTTTCCAATGGCCGTAAACTCGGTAATAATTTTCCAATGCAAAGCCATCTCAATCAAATTATATTATATGCTGAAAATGTAGCTCGTATGTTTTTATGTATATATATTTTAACGATATAAATATACTTAAGATTCCATATATGTTGAAGGCAAATCAGGTATCTGCAACTTGATATGAAAGTTATGGATGGAAAGCCAATTTTAGAACAAAAAGAGAAAAACTTTAAAAGTGGCAAGATTAAATAAAAATTGGACGTACAATTTTAGAAACGTCTCCCAGTAAATAGAATACGGAGAAACAATAAATCCAAACTAGAAGGAGAACGTAACATCATATTAACATTAACATAATGTACAAAACTGAATTTAAGTACCAGCCTCTGTTAGTAGGGAGGGGGTAGTTGATAGTGATGGTGAAAAATCCTTTGAGAAGTGCTTCCGTGTTTTCCATATGAGCATAATTGCATTTTATATAATACCTTGAATGGTCCTGGGTTCAGTACTTCGTAAGGAAGTATTGTTTCAATTCCAACGGATGAGTAGAGAGGTGATCTGACAGATATGTTCAACTGCCAGGTTTTCTCTCTTAAATAATTATTTTCAGTACTTACTTTATACGGGATGGATTTACTCCCAGCTCTCTCGGATCCAAGTTCGATCCTTAGCTGATGTAGCAGAATAGATAATTATCTGCTACACCTGTATTTAAACCTGGAATCTAAAGCGTAGCAGTACAGTGTCTTATTCACTGAGCTTCCCGCATTTTATATAAAGCAATAAATTATTGTGGTGTTTCCTTTTGAAAAAAAAAAAACATAATCAAAGCATGAATATTATTGACGATAATAAAGAACATGACATATTTAATATGGTAGGAAGGTGCGGTATCATATTGTCTCGAGCACTGTACTTAAATTAACAAAATATCCAAGTACTTTACTTGACTTCAATTTCTGTCGTTTATTTATTGACACTTAAGAGCATTGATGTTTTGTTTCACATAAATAATTTATTAATTACTAATGCGTGTGGCGATTGTATCACCAACACTCCTAGTGCACTTTCCCAATGCTGCATACGGTTACTTTAAAACAGGAAACAGGTCTTCGCTCAATATATGAAGCCATAAAACTGTTTGCGCAACGCCGTTAATGCAAATGAGTAACAGCGCACAAGAAAAACCTTTACGATCTGTATCCAAATGTTGCTCCTTCCGCCGTAATGACTGTTAAACTTAATAATTGCCAAACAGTCGAAGAGAAAGTGAATACAGTTTGAGTCTTCAGGAGATGTAATGATGGTACGATAAAGTGTCCCTATTCACTCACTATGTAAAAGCATATAAAGAAGAACCCTCAGATCTTCGTGATGCCTCCGCGGAAGAAATGTCGGAAGTGGAAATGACATTCAACAAAGGAGGTCTGGACATTGAAAGGGACTACAATGGCAAAGACTGTTCCGTTGCTGGTTTGGTGAACGGGTCTTCCTCTTCGGATAAGTTGGAGAAATCGACTGTTAACTTGAGTGCTCTTCTAGCTGGAGTACGGCGGAATAATGGACGATACCTGTAGAAACGGATACTTGAACTCCCTTCAAGTGTGGATTAGAAGGTGCTGTTTCATGAAATGCGGTGTTACTCAATTGACTTCAATCATAAGCTTTAGAAATCGTATAATCGTATAAGAGGAGGATCGCAAAAAATAAACTTGAATAGCTGGTAATTATCATACGCCCAAATAATTTGACGTTTTCGTTGATAAATAATTTTTTAATATAAAATACAAAAAACTCCAAAAGAGGCATAGATTAACAGTTAGGTTATAACTGGAAAAAAGCCAAACCCCTGAGTCTCTACCGTGTAGCTTAAAAAAACTAACATGTCAACTCTTCACCAATGGAGGCGTCATCCGGACAGGATCAACCATGACCAGGAAAAAAAGTTCATTTTAAATAAATTAAGTCACGTGAAAAAAATCGCTCCTATGTTTAAATAAATTTATTTTCCGTCCAAAAACAAATTTTGGATAATTTTTATTAGTTTTGTTTTTTCTTGGAACTTATCACAGTCCTAATTATTTGTTCTTAAACTGTTTCTGTTCAGAACGGATGGACTTGATCAATGTAAACATGTCCATGGTGTAATTATATTATTATTTAAAAATTCATTTATGAACGTAGAGTCAGAAAATTGTATTATCCTTTTGTGAATCTGATATTAATGTTTTAGTTGTGTTTAAAATTAAACGAACTATTTCCAAAATTTGACCATCTGTTTCTTAATTACGAGATGTCCAAGAATATTAAATTTATCATAATAGCCGAGTTTAATAAACTACAATAAATTTATAGCAAACTTTTCTGGCAACGATGATACCAATTACTTAAAGTAGTGGATGAAACGTGTACAATGGTTGTATGAAACGGATGTTGCACTACTTCTTGAATGCACGGAATGCTTTCCACGATGTCATCAAGTTCCAGTGGAAACTCCTCTTGAGTATTCTTCTATTGTATCCCCGACGCCTGCTGGCCTAAGGATATCCTTGGGCCATCAGGAGCACAAAGGATAACATCGGCTGAGAAGGCGGCAGATCGGATATTGTCGCCTTTCTTCAACTTGGGGGAGGATTGAATCTAGATCAATTACTTTCCCGCTTCAAGTTCTCAATGGAAGTCGTTACGGGTCTCTTCAATCACTTCGAAAGAAATATTTTCTTTCCTTAAAGCATTTTTTATCCCTCTCGCATTCCCTAAATCTTCGCCCACGTTCTCATATTTAAGTATAAATGATCTTTATACAACTGTTTTCGTAACAGTTAATCTGTATCATTATTATTTATTTTTTATATGTCGGATTCCCAAATATAGATGAATCTGGAACACTTATATTCTAAAAAAAATATTTAATTAATAACAAAATAATAAAATAGCAAGAAAATAATCAATTCATAGTACCCTACTTGTATATTTAATTAAACAAATTGGTGGATTGTAAATTATGCAATATATAAACATTGAAACTTGATGTAGCGATCTTGGTTGGTGCTTTCCACACTCGAATTTAATTAAAGGCATCTCTGAAAAGATATTAATTAAATTTTTTGCATGTTTATACCTGAGCCAGAACAGAGGGAAATGTTCTTTTACTGGTGTAAAAATCATGATCTACAAGATGAATTCTTGTGAACAAAAGTTGGCTATCGCAACATCCAGCCTCCAAGCAAATGAAAGAGAAAGACAAAACTATCCTAAGCATACCCATGACATTACCTCCAAGCCCTAAGTGAAACCCATTGTGAAGATGAACATGTAAACAATTAGCCGTGTTCATTGTTCGTGCCGGCAACTGCTGTATCGCCTTTCAATTAAAAAAGGCCATTTCCCAGCGGCCTAGGGTTACGTCAAATGCTAAGTCGACAAAGAGAAACTAGTTTCCATCTCGTTTGGGACCGAGATGTTACCTTGGTCGGTTATGTAACAGATTTGATTTTGGATCACTGATTAAGTAAGTTTCTGAACTTCGAACACCCAGCTCCAAAGAAAGAAAATAATATATAAAACTTTACTAAGTAATTCTTTCCTCAAAAAGAAAAAATCTGTACTCCTGCAAGCTATGAAGGATTTTAAGTTAAGTACTTTTAAATGAATTAATGCTTCATGGTCATCACTTCTGCAGGTGACCGAGATAATCCACACGCTCAACCGCTAGATTTTCCCAAAATTTTATTATTTAACTAAGTACCCAATTTGTAGAAGCTGGATGTAAGATCAAGAGAGTCTTTTGAACACAGGTCAGATCCGCATCTGATGTAACAGAAATAACAGAATAAATAATTACTAGTTACAGCCAGAATCGAGCCCGGGATAGTAGAAAATCAGTGCCTTAGTCACTGATCTGCCCTAATTTCTTAGATTATGATAATATTTTCTTAATATTATACTGATCCTATTTCAGAAATCTACTTAAACCTTTTAAAGTTTCCACACTATTTCAAATTAAGATCAGTCAGAATTTAAATATCAAGTTCCTGACAGTAAATCATGTTCTCAATAAATAACATTAGTAAGCCTACCTGAGTCTTGTATCTGATGAAGTATACTTCAGGCTTGCTTGGCTGTGTGGGTGCCGGTGTTGGGATAGTGATCTCTGGCGCTTCATCGGGTTTCTTGACGAGCACGTAGATCAAAGTCTTCTGCTCAGCTGGTGGCGGAAGGGCTGGGATGTCGGGTACGGTTGGTGGTGGCGGAGTTGGGGCCTTGATGAAGACGATCTTGTAGTGCTTCTGTGGTGGAGGTGGTGGAGGCTGTGGCCTTCTTGGGGCTTCGTACACAGGCTCTGGAGGCGGGACGTGGACGTAGACGTGTTTATGGACGACGGGGGCTTCCTGCGGGGGTCCGTACTGGGGGGAAGGACCGGAAGGGAAACCACCGCCCCCGCCGCTGGGGGCGCTGTATCCGCCTCCGCTCGCACTTCCGCCGGAAATGGGTGCGGCATAACTGTCTAATTGGAGGCCACCTCCAAATCCTCCACCGCCGCCGCCACCCCCGTGGCCGCCCCCGTATCCACCACCACCTCCACCGCCTCCGTTGTGTCCGCCCGGCCTTCCAAGGGCCATTCCCACACTGGCCAATACCTGAAAAATTATGATCTTCATTAAACATAATGAATATATTTTAAGTCATTTAAGGATGAAAAAAGGTTGCTTGGTAATAGAGAGTAGGAATAAAGACTCAGGAAAAAGTGTTATTTCGGTAAATAGAATACCAACCATGAAATATATAACATGATACGGACACTCCACAGATAATGAAATAAATTCTATCCCGATTTTAAAGCCGAATCCATCTCTCCACTAACACTTGATAGAGATCATTCTTTTTTAGAGATAAACTATGCATCCGACTCTTATCTATTTCCTTTTTAGACTTTACAAAGTGTAAAGATCCAGATTATGTTTGTTGATTTTTACGATTCGTCAATTCTAAATTTCATTTTCAAACATTTAAAATTCACCTTATTATTGTTGTTAATCTAATATATATACACATATTTTAAGCAGACCATATACGTGAGATCCTGTTATTTCAGGAGTGGATCACATGCTATCTTATGTAACTAATACAATCACCATATTTACGTAATGAAGTTAACGTTACGGAACTTTTGTTGTAGGTTTTTTTTTCCCCGAATCCTTGAGTGACAGAACGAGTCTCAAGCCATGTACTAACAACGTATTTTTCTCCTCCCAAAAAAAAAAAAAACACACGACGACACATACGCGTTGCTTTCCTCATGACTTTCATTACGTAATCTAGGAGAGTATATATTCTCCATGAACCGTAGTACGGAAGAACTGGAGTATACAATGGAAGAACATTCTTTTTCGTGTACTAAATAGTTCATCGTTTTTCTCTCTCGGTGATCTTAAGTCGCCTTACTGAATTTCTTAAAGTATATTTTTTGGTGCGCATATGTTTAGCAATATTTACGACAGCGTCATTAATATAGATTTCGTTATTATTTTATTTTATTTCATGCAGAAATAAAAATACGTTTTAATAGATTATTGTTAACTCTTGGATTTCATTTTGTTTCTCAAATGCAATCATATTATGATTTTTTTGTCTGGAAAAGCTAGATGGAACAATAAATTCCTGATGGGAACAACTTAGCGACAGGACGAAGTATTATAAAGTGGTCCATCATAAAAAAAATAAATACTCATTCGACAAATCAACACGAATATATAAAAAAAAGATCAACACAAAATACTGTAAAAGGGATAAAATAATCATTATTGTCCCTCGTAAGAATTAAGCAATCCAATCCTGGAAGTATTCCGGATGTTATTGTTAATATTACACCCAAAAGCTGGCCGAAATAAAAATAAAAATGTTAAGATAAAAATAGAAAAAAAGATACTGTTATCAATTACTACACATATTTCGGGATAAACACTTTTTTTAAATTTTAGATGTAAATCAGTATTTTATAATAATAAAAAAAGAATATTTTTAGGCACATGTCTTTGTTTTTATTATTTTTAGTTCAACTTTAAAAATTAATTTACTATATAAAGGATGGCTCTGGGGAACGAGCATATTCAAAGAGGAAACTTATAAATAAACTTCTTTGGTAATAGGGCTCTTTTTTATTTTTCCCATATTTTATTATTTTTCTTTCGTTTAAATTTTCGTTGGTGATTACCTAAAATAACTATAGATATGGTTTAAAAACCTGTAACTATGAAGGAATAAAATATGATCGATAGTTCTTGTTTACGCCTAATATATCTATGACTTAGGAGGCCCAAACTATTTAGTTATTAATTTTTTTTTTTTTAATTAAACGAAAATCGTGATTCTTGAATTGTTCCTTACCCGAAAAGTATATATTAAAAAAAAATGCCAAGACTTTATTGAATCAAACACAATTAATTCTATAGTATTGTTTATAAATCTGAATAATTTTTTTTTTGGAAGATATTAATATTTTTTTAAATAAATTTCTTAAATGAGTGTTAGTTGTACTATGGATTTTTTTTCTCTCAATGCTGGATCATATTTAATTATATTTTAATTAGATATTATTACAATGTCTTGATTATTCATTTATTGTTATTTATTTCAAATAAATTTTAAAGTATATGAACGAAGTAACAAATCACTAGCTTACAAACGTTACATAACAACGCTAGGTTCCATTCTATCTATGGTCGGAAGTATTGGAAAGGGACCGCGTATTGTTTATTCCACCTGCTACAAAAATGTCAGTGCCTTCTTGAATGTTGAGGCTTTTTAATATAACTCGGGGTGAAAACTCTTTCACTTTTAAAAGGGCAGAAGAGTCCCATAATCGCTCCGGGAACCGACGTCAGCTTTCTTCAAGTCCTGGCGCGCGAAGTCTGAGGGGGGAAAGAGGCGGTTTGTACATCCATCGACCGACATGGCGTACATCACGTATACAATGAGACCGAGGAGGGAAAGTGAACTGTATTAGCAGAAAGGAATGCTAAGGTTTTCACCAAACGGCCATTTTCACATATAATAAATAAAATTTCTATTCCATAAGGGAAAAAAAAATATTGAAAAGTTACAGCAGAATGATATAAAAGAAAAGAATCACATAAAAGTGGATATAATGTCATCCTCATTTCATCATAATGGCATGACTATGTTATAACTTGTAGTTTATTTTCTTGCCTAGAAATCCAGCTACGATTTATCTCTCAGTTTATTTATTTATCACATTCGTACAGCGACTATTCCAATGGACGTTAAAGAAATTAAAGAGAATGTGTGGAACATGTGGCAAAACAAGTGGGAACAAAAATAATCGAAATTAAAACCACTGTTTGAAATGGGAAACCTCTCACCGATTCTCTCGAAAAGAAGAGACAGCCATCTACAGATTACAAATTGGGCATAGTGAGTTCTCGCACTCCTACCTACTAAGAGGACTTGATCCTCCGAACTTCGAGAGCTGCAATGTCCAAAGGACAGTAAAGCGTATTATACAAGACTGCCTTATATTTGAAACTAGAAGAAAAAAATTGGACATGGTACACAGTCTAAAGACAGCGAAAGTGCAGTTAAAGAAATTTTAAGATTTTTACAAGTGATAAAATTCTATAACAGAGTGTAATTTAAATGTTTTGCCAATGACCCTACAGGGTAGAGGCAACAACACATCAAATAAATAAATAAATATTCCAATGGGCATATGGATAGATAGCCTCAAGAAAGATAACAAAACGAAATAAAAAAATCAAATTTGGCTTATTCATTATTGTGAACAGATCTGTGCCAGTTTTTTTTTTAATATTTACTGTACACTAACATTAGGGATTTAAATAATATAATATAGTTAAATCGATTTGACTTTTAGACCTAAAAGTACCATGTAACCAAATCCTTACCATATTTTTAATATTCCAGACTAGGAATCCATGAAGGGCAACCACTGTGAAATTGAGAAGTTTTATTTCTGGACGAGGTCCTCTCTTCCTATTCTCAAAAACGGAGTAAGCAACAGGAAAGCAATCGCTATAATATTTTTTTTTGAGGAGAAGAGCACATTTTTATAAAAATTTGAATATTTGAGAGTTTATTTTATATAGTTTATTTAATTTTTTTAAGGATCCGTATTTTTACGAACTTTTATACCAAGGTAAATTTCATGGAACATACCATAAGCTACATTGCATATAAATTATTATTGTTATAATTTTACCTTTTTTTATACTGTGTTTAAAAATAAGATAACAATAAAATTTCTTGGGAGGGAATGGGGTATGCGCCATCGACCATCGACCATGGGGAGGATGGTCACCTCTGATTAGTTATAAAAAAAATAATAATAAGATTTAACGAATCCATAGATTCTATACCAAATCGTAAGGAACACCCAAAGAGAAATGTTTCTTTGTTGCACAGTATGTATGTACCATTGTCATACTTTACGTTTTATTATGTAAAATATATAAAACAAAATATTCATATTATCTTTCTAAAATTGAATTAACATGCATCTCATGCTAATTTGTTTTGTTTTTTCCCTTTGAAAATGAAACAATAATTATCTACGCCACTCACATTACCAAAACAGGAGGCGCAAAACAGCGCCCAGAAGGCGAACCGAAACGAAACCTTCTCCGCATACCTAAAGCGATTCGGCGCCTTCCTTCTTTCTCCCCGTCCTTGACAGTACTTGCCGAGGAAAGTGTGCTAGAAAAGGAAAGTCGGATCTTTGGCAGTTTTATTGTTGACGGTACCGTTACTGTGCGTAACGGTTACGTAACGTAACGTTCTACGACAATTCATCGTCGATTCACGTAGGAATTCCAAATTTATCGACTATTCCTCAGCAATAAAACCGTGCAAAATTAGGAATACCCGAGTGTTATGTCATTTAAAGAAGACGCTGTATTCTTAAAATACTTTATATAACAACAACATTATTTTTTGGAAGGCAAACTTTAATACAATCTACCAAAAAATTCCTCTTTACGGATAAATTATTTTTTCAATAACCTGTTATATTAACATATAGCTCGTTTCCTCCAAAAAAGCTAAATTTTAATATTTTCATTAACTTTAAAATCCTATATTGATTTTACGGGTATTTCATTCACAAACCAATTCAAACTTTACTACAAAATTAAAATCATTGATAATAACCGATACTCTTCCCGTTAAAAGTAGGCATAATTAATTTTCCTTGTTGTATTAAATACATTGTCCCTGTATTATCATTAAAATAACTTTTGATATATGATTTCATCGCGGTAAATGAGTTATATATATTATTCTGAAATAAATATTTTTTTATGGCAAGATATATGGTATATATAATAATATGCATGTATTTTCGATACACCTGATAAATTTACGTCTTCTTTAATACTACTGCCAAAGATTTAAAATGTATTCAAAATTTTACAAAGTCAGTTTTTTTGCGTGCAATGATCAATTGTAAACAAAATAACATATATACATTATTATTATTATTATTATTATATCTTCAAAACTACCACCGATTTTATACTATTAAACCCTATAATGTTTAGATGTTTTGAGATCTATGTTAAATAAATCCCAAAAAAAAAAAAAAATT